ATTATATTAGTTTATTAGTTAGATTTCTTTATTTGTATAACATTATATATTAGTACTATTATTTACGAGTAACAGATATAGATCATTTTTGTTATAATGCAAGGTCGATACCTCTGGTTGACACCTTTGATTAATACCTCTGGTTGCCACCTCTGGTAAGCACCTCTAGTACAAATAACTCATTAGCAAAAATAGCTTATAGAATCTCCTGGAATATTACGGAAATTTCTGGAACTTTCTTGAGATTAGTAATTATAGTTTTACAAAAGGATGACAATTTTGTATAAATAGAGGTAACTTTTGCCTTTAAAGTTAGGACAGTTAGAACTTGAATATATTTTGAACTCGATATATGTAATAAATTATTAATAAAAGTCTTTGTGACAATAATAATTTGAAACCTTTGATTTCTTAGTGAAATACTTTTTGATAAATAATATCCTGCTTCATGATCTTAATATTATTCTGTCTATAATTAACCTTGCTTCGTAATCTTGGTTAATTATAATAATTCTGTGTAAATTCTTGTAGTTTCTGTGTGAAACTAATAATATTCTGTATAAATATTTGTTGATTTAGTATAAAAACTCCCTTTATTTTCTAAAATTCTCACACCTTAGCCTCTTTCGAACAAATTCACAACCTCAAATCCTTTACCTCATATAATGCGATTGTCACTCTAAATTTTTTTAAGGAGTGTGATCATCGCTCTTTAAATTTTTTAATTTCAGGGGTTTTAAATAAAAGCTCCAGGATTTTTTAAAAAAAAAATATTTTGTGACTTTTAAATAAAGCCACGAAATTTTAATATTTTTTTTAGCGATCTGTCACTTTAAATAGTGACGGATCACTTTTTTTTATTTTTTTAACGATCCATCACTTTAAATAGCGATGAATAGCTTTTTTTTTTTAAAAAAAATAATTTCGTGACTTTTAAATAAAACTACAAAATTTTAATTTTTTTTTAGCGATCCATCACTTTAAATAGTGACGGATTACTTTTTTTTATTTTTTTTAGCAATCCGTCACTTTAAATAATGACAAATCACTTTTTTTTTTTAAAAAAATAATTTTTTTAGTGATCCGTTACTTTGAATAGCAATGGATCACTTTTTTTTAAAAAAAAAATAATTTTTTTAGCGATCCGTCACTTTAATTAGTGACAGATCGTTTTTTTTTATTTTTTTAGTAATCTGTCACTTTAAATAACGACAGATCACTTTTTTAATTTGTTTTTTTCATTGCTATTTAATAGTATACGTGTTGCCCAAATCCCAAATTACTAATATTTGGGATTTGGGATTTGGGATTTCGGCAAAAAATACTAATCATAATTTGGGATTTGAGATTTGGGATTTCGGCATTTGGGATTTCGGCATTTGGATTTTGAATTTGGGTGGCAGGTATATTGTACGTTCCTCTAATGAAAAATCTTTATTACTAAAATATAAGATAATAATACATAATAAAATATATATTAAAAATACATGGTAAAATCTATCTAATTAGAAATTTGGAGGAGGGGATGTTACTGTCGAACTATCTAAATTTCTATTTGATCTGTGATTATGTGCACTGCGTAATAGAGATATATTAACTATTAATATATTACGGAATAATAATAAAGTATATATAAAATCAGCTAAAATGGAAGGATCGTTGAAATATCAAATAGGAATTTCTGTTTCATGTATTTTATAATATCAATGGATTTCAAGCTCGTCTCTTATAAGAACATTCAAACTCAACCTACATCCAGCAACTTGTATTTCAATAATGTCAAATTGTTCCTTTTCCAACCTATGACTTTTTTGCGCTCAGAACAATTCATCATTACATTCATGCCATAATTTTATATTATTATCCTCTTATTTCTGTTTAGTACAGATGATCCAGGAACACTCCGCATACATTAATTCGTAATATTTATTATCTTCCTTGCTTATAAACATAATATCAGGCCATCTTTCTACTTTCCTATCCTCTTTTCTATCAGCACTTACTACGCTCTGCCATTCAAAACTAAAAATAAATTATCTTTATTGTATATTGATTCAGGTTCAAAACACTGGTTGAAAATTGATAAAACATACACATATCGAGTATCCGATATGTGTATATTTTATCAATTTTCGACCAGTGAAAGGAACTTTTTTAAGATATCTTATTGAAATAATAATGAAGTTAGTATCAAGATATATATATAAACTTACGTGGTAATATATGTGTTACCCAAATCTCAAATTACTAGTATTTGGGATTTGGGATTTGGGATTTTAGCAAAAAATACTAATCATAATTTGGGATTTGGGATTTGGGATTTTGGCATTTGGGATTTTGGCATTTGGATTTTGAATTTGGGTGGCAGGTATACACAACAGTAAACAAAAAAAAATCTCATAATCAATAATCCAGAAAATATATTATCCATTATTTAGAATAACTAAATGACACAGACATAACCAACATAGTAAAATCGTGTTCAGGATGCTATATGAAAGACAAAAACATTTCAGACAAAAGAACAAAATGTCTAATTAACTATCAAAATGTGACAGACTTAACAATAGAATATATAACAGTACAACTAACCAAAGGACAACCTCAAGATTATGCACCATCGATAAGACTATACTGAATAATAAATCCAAGAACAGAATTATTATTCAAATTGCAATATAGAAACCTTATAACAAAAAACAATACATTATAAACTGCTGAAAGAAATAATACACCAACCCCAAAACAATAAAAGAATCACATAATATTATTGACAAAGTCCTTATTACTACAACAGAAATAAAAAATAAACTGAAATAAATTTGATCCGAACTAACAAGAATAAATCCAGCTGAAATAGTCTTTTATACAGATGGCTCACTTAACAATAAATATATCATGGGTCAAATGCATATAGGGTGGCTCACAACAGATCCAATTATATCACCAATACAATACTTTGTTGCAGACACCGACTCATACCTATTATCCAATAAAGCTAAATTAATGGTCATACTAACAGCTCTGACAGTGGTACCACAAGGAAAAAAAATAACTATAAATATAGATAGTAAAGAAGCAATCCATATGATCAATGATTACTTTCAAAGAGATCAAACAAAAATCCTACATAAACTAAATTACCTTCCAATTATACAGACAATTAAACAAATAATAAATCAACTACAACTAAAATTTACTCTCACAAAAGTGAAAGCCCATTCAAACAACTTGAACAATAACATAGTAGATAATATAGTTAAGATAACAGAATACTACTGGCTGAACTTTGACAAGCTGAGAATCAATAGAGAATACATTAACATCTTAACCATTCCAACACTCAAGAACAAAATTATAGAAGAACCTATCAAAAAAACTATTAAAGCAATTAATCACATAGCAGCCTTCTATAAATGGAGAACACAAAATCGTACATCAAACTTAATCTCTGAAAGAAAATCATACAACATAAATTGGCACCTCACACAAAAAACCAATTATCCGTCCACACTATACCAGAACCCAACTCATTTGAAGATACCAGACAATGCTCATTTAAACTCAGGTTACAAAACAATGAACTCCCAACAATGGACAAACTTCATCAACGCCATTCGCATTTGTATGTTACAAATAAATGTCCATTTTGCAACCAAGAAAAAGAAACAAATATACATGTGTTCATATGTTCAGCATTAGAAGAACAATATAATATTAATACTATACTTAAAAAAACCCTACAATTAACAGCAAAACAAATTAAAACAAAAGGAAAAAAGAATACTAAACACATGACACTTGACTCAATAAAACAGACCTTAAGTCAAGAACTAACCTTTTTATTAGAGACAAATATCACACCAAACGAGTCAGCTGAAATAAGTTTTCTTGATATAATAAAAGGATATACATCCAAATCATTGATAAAGAAAATAAAGTCAATCACAAAATCTAAAACATCAGCAAAAACAATAAACACTAACATATAAATATTTATCCAAACCAAATTAGAACAAACCTGATATCACCGAATTCAAAAGATCCTAGAATGAGAAGAAATTCAAAACATAACAAGAAAACAAAAAAGAAATACAACTATCAAAACTCCTAAAAAATCAAATAGAAACAAAACAAAAAATAATAAAAACAACAAACATAAATCATATAAACAGCTATACACTTCTTCTCTCAATCACACAGTAACTTCATATAACTTACTAACTATACATGGAAACATTCTTTTCTATAAATATTATTATAATTATATTAACTGACAAAGTTTTGACTGTCAATTCCCATTTTGTGGGTGTCGATAGGTCAACTCGTCATCTAGATTAAATTAGTAATAATTTGGTTTAGAGTAGATAGTTAGAACACAACATGTAAATTCAACATTTGTTTTATTTAATAAAGTGTCTAACAAGACTCTGATGGTTAAAAAAAAAAAATGATATGCAATTCATTCTTATATTAAAAAATTTATATGGCAAAATTTCGTAACCTCAATTATTGACTCGTGATCAGATTAATAATAAAAAAGGCATGTGACATTTCCGATGAATCAAACAAATAGAGTACGGAGCGGAGAATTGTCAAATCATCAAATTTCTCCTTTTGAACATAATGCCTTCCGAAAAAGTAGTGTCTGGTGACATTGAATTTTCTCCAAAACTTGCTTTTTATCTTAATGGAACCAGAATAGAAATCAATAATCCAGATCCTGATACGACATTGCTTCAATATGTTCGTTCCATTGGACTTACTGGGTAAATTTATTTATTTCCAGTTAACGCTTAATTAATGCTTAATTGATGTTCAATGTTCAATTAATGTTTATGTTTAGAACTAAGTTAGGATGCGCTGAAGGTGGTTGTGGTATGTAATACATTTTTATTGTTATATTAAATTACATTAATTCCAAAATAAATGCCTATATTTCTTTTTTTAATTATAGGTGCCTGTACAGTCATGATATCATCTTATGACCTAAAATCAAGAAAGATCTCGCATTATTCAGTTAATGCATGTTTATTACCTTTATGTTCAGTGGAAGGTAAACATGTTATTACGATAGAAGGAATTGGGAACGTAAAATATCCACATCCTGTTCAGGTATATGTTTATATATTTTAAATATTTATATAACTTTTACCTATATTAATTATGATTAAATTATTATTATTATTATTATTATTATTATTATTATTATTATTATTATTATTATCATTATTATTAGGAACGGATAGCTTTATTACATGGGTAAATAATAAAAATTATTCTATTAATTTTTTTGAATTTGACTAAATGCATTCTTATTGTTGCACAAAAGATCACAATGTGGATTTTGTACACCAGGAATTGCAATGTCACTTTATGTTTTATTGCGTAATAATCCTAATCCTACCGAAGAAGAAATTGAAGAATGTTTTGATGGTGATTTTATATTTATTTCAAACATATATCTTAAGTATATATTTTTAAGCATATATTTTTAAACATATATTAATCTAAATAATTATTATTTTAGGAAATTTATGTAGATGTACTGGTTATCGTCCTATTTTGGATGCAGCAAAAACTGTATGCAATTTAAAATTTATTTCTTAAAAATTTATAAATTTATAAATTATTAATTTATATATTAATTATTTTTAAGTTATATATTAAATTATTTAAATTATATATTAAATTTTATTATGAAATTTTAGTTTGCAAAACCATCATCTGGTCAGAATAATTATAAAGATGATGATGAAACTATAGTCAATGGTGATCTTAAAAATGTGACTTGTGGTCGAGCTGATTGTTGTAAATTGAGAATTGATACCAATGGGAAAATTGGAAGTAATAAATTTCCCGAAGTTAGTATTTTTATTTTCATTCTTTGATCATTTTTTAATCATTATTATTTCAGAAATTTAAATTATTATTTTTTCATTATTATTATAGGTAAAATTTAAAGAATATGATCCATCTCAAGAATTAATATTTCCACCATTACTTATGAATCACGTTCCTGTTGCTCTCTGTTTCTCGGGTAGAAAAACAATGTGGTTTAGACCTATTAATTTGAATCAATTATTTTATTTAAAATCAAAATATCCTGAAGCAAAATTAATTTCTGGTAACACTGAAGTTGGTATTGAAACCAAATTTAAGAAAATGGATTATAATGTTCGAATTTTTGTTGGGGATATTCTGGAATTAAAAACTTGGGAATTTCAAGGTTCGAAATTTCAGTTAATTTTAAGCATTTGAGATTACTGTTCATGTTTCTTGTGATATAAAAATAATGTAACTTATTTATTATAGAGAATGGATTATTGATTGGTGCAAATGTTAGCCTTACAAAATTCCAAACCATTTTACAGGATGCTTGTAAACATTACAAGGTTTCTTTTTATTAAATATTAAGTTGATTATTATGAAAATTTTTATTAGAATTATATATATTTATTAATCCTTTTTTTTTTGTAAAGTCATATCAAACCCAAGTTTTTAAAGCTCTTCTATTTAATTTACGGTGGTTTGCAGGAAATCAAATCCGTAATGTTGCTACTCCTGCTGGAAACATTGTTACTGGTTCACCAATATCAGATTTAAATCCTATCTTCCTTTCAACTCGAACAAAATTTATTCTCACCTCATCATCTAAAAATAGTCGCGATATTCCAGCCACATCTTTTTGGACAGGATATCGACAAAATTGTTTAGATAAAATTGAAATATTAGAAAAAATATTTATTCCTTGTTCAAAATTAGGTCAATATGTGCGAGCTTATAAACAAGCCAAAAGACGTGATGATGATATTGCGATTGTTAATTCTGGATTATCTATTATTTTAGATGAAAAAAATATTGTGCAAGAGGCATCATTTGCTTTTGGAGGTATGAGTGGTCTTTCTGTCAGAGCACCAATATCGGAAAATTTTGTTTTAGGAAAATTTTGGGGAGATGAAAACATTTTTATGGGTCTTCTTAATAAATTGAGTGAGGTACATCTGATCTATTTTACGTCTGTACATTTCTCGTTTTTTTTTTTTTAAACCTAATTTTTTATTTTTATTAAAGATATAATTTTTTTTTTAATATATAAAATTTAAGGAATTACAATTAAGTTTTTCTTCTCCTGGTGGTATGATTGCATATCGTAAATCATTAGTTTCTGGATTTATGTATAAATTTTGGCATGATGTGTCAAAATGTGTTGGTATTCAAACTTCTGTTAGTGATGAGGAAGTTGAAAATTTTGTTGGAATTATAGAACGTCAAGTTTCAAAAGGTGTTCAATTAATTGGTCAACCTGAGTAAGTTATTAATAATAATAATAATAATATTATATTTTAAGAAGAAGAAATAAATTGAATTGAATAATTTTAATTATGAATAAATTAGAGAAGACAAGAAAATTGTGGGTAAATCAATTCCAGCTATTTCAGCTTTGAAGCAAGTGACTGGTGAAGCAATTTATGTAGATGATTTACCAAAACAACATGGTGAATTATATGGAGCTCTTGTTTTATCACAAAAAGCTCATGCAAAAATAATTAAGTAATTATCTTTTTTTTTTATTTTTTTATTTTTTTATTTTTTTCTTTTGTTTTAAATAAAAATAGTATAATGTTCAGACTAAAGTAAATGTTGTTAACTTTTTAATAAAAATACTATTGTTTTAGGATTGACGCGTCAATTGCTTTAGAAAAATCGGGTGTAAAAGGATTTTTTACAGCAAAAGATGTTCCAGGTGATAATAAATGGGGTGCGGTATTTCAAGATGAAGAAATATTTGCTAGTGAAGAAGTTCATTGTGTAGGCAAGTTTATTAATTTATTTAATTTATTAGCATAGTTATTTATTTTATGATTTTAATATTTTCTTTTTCATAAATTTCATAAAATTAATTAATTAATTTATTAATATTTGTCCTTAAATTCTTTAAATAATCAGGGCAAGTTATTGGTTTAATTGTGGCTGATACACAAGCAATTGCTCAAGAAGCGACCAACTTGGTAAAGATAGAATATGAAGTATTACCTCATATATTAACTATTGAAGAAGCAATTGAAAAAAATAGCTTCTATCATATTGAAAGACGTTTATCAACTGGTGATGTTGAAAAAGGATTTCAAGAAGCTGATCTTATTTTTGAAGGTTGATACTTTCGAAGGATTATAATTTATTTGATTTAAATAAAAGATTTTCTAATTTTATTATTATTTATTATTTTTGTTTTATTTTGTTTTTTGTTTTTTGTTCAGGCGAAACAAGAATAGGAGGACAAGGTTAAACTTATTCATTATATTCTTTTATTTTATGATTTAATTTATTAAAATTTTTTAATTATTAATTTAATTTTGTTTATTTTGTTAATTTTATTATATAGAACATTTTTATTTAGAAACAAATGCTGCATTAGTAATTCCAAAACCTGAAGACAATGAATTTGAAATTCATTCATCTTCTCAAGCTCCCACAGCAGTTCAAAAAGATTGTGCGTCGGTGCTGGGAATTGCAGCAAATAAAGTTGTATGTCGAGTAAAAAGAATTGGAGGAGGTTTCGGTGGAAAAGAAACAAGAAGTATTCCTTTACCTCTTGTTTTGGCAGTTGGCGCTTGGCATCTTAAAAAACCAATTAGATGCATGTTGGATCGTGATGAAGACATAATTATATCTGGGCAACGTCATCCTTACTTGGGACGTTGGAAAGTTGGTGTTAGTAAAGAAGGAAAGCTTCTTGCTTACGATTTACAGGTATAAAATATTAAGAATTTAATAAATATATTTTTCAGTATTCTCTCTCGAATATTCTAATTTAAATTTTTTGAATTATTTAGTTGTATGGTAATATGGGATGGTCATGCGATCTTTCATTGGGTGTTTTGGAACGTGCAATAACACATGTAGATAATTGTTATTATTGTCCAAACGTGAGAATAATTGGAAAATTATGTAAAACCAATATTCATTCCAATACTGCCTTTAGAGGTTTCGGAGCTCCTCAAGGAATGATGATTACTGAAAATATGATGAGTGAAATAAGCGATCGTTTGGGAATTGATCCAATCGAAACAAGAGTAATTAAATAGTAAAATTATTTCTTATCATTTCTAATGTTTATTAGCGCTCATATTTATTTGTAAACCGTATCATTTTCTTTTTTTTTTTCTTAAAAAATAGGAAAAAAACTATTATTTAGAAGGTCAAAAAACTCATTTTAATCAGATACTAAGGGATTGGCATATTCCTGCATTACATCAACAAGTTATGGAATTAAGTGATTATGTTAACCGAAGAAAGAAGGTTGATGATTTCAATTCAAAGAACAAATGGCGTAAACGAGGTTTAACCTTAATTCCCACAAAATTTGGACTTTCGTTTACTGTGTTACACTTAAATCAAGCCGCTGCTTTAGTTCATATATATACTGATGGAAGTGTTCTTGTTAGTCATGGTATATTTGTTTTACATTTTTCGCTTATATTGATTGTTTTTTTTTTTTTGCAAAATTTATTTATTTTTCTATTTATTTATTTCATTTAAAGGTGGAGTCGAGATGGGTCAAGGTCTTCATACTAAAATGTTGCAAATTGCAGCCGAAACCCTAGATGTTCCCTTAGAAAATGGTATTTTTATTTTAATTTTAATTTTTATTATTATTTACAATTGAATAATCGCTTTCGCATTACCATATTAAAAATTTTGTCTAACTTTGAATTATCTCTTTTACTTCAAGTTCATCTTATGGAAACTGCTACAAATTTGGTTATTAATACGTCACCAACTGCAGCTAGTGTTAGCAGTGATATTAATGGTTTTGCAGTTTTTAATGCTTGCCAAACTTTGTCTGAAAGATTAAAACCATATCGAGAAAAAATGCCTGGTAAAAGTTTTAAAGAGGTATTTACATAAATTTACATATATTTACATAAATTTAATTTGTATCAATTTTAATTTAGAGGAATTTTGATTTTTTAATGATATTTTTTATGATTTATTTAAGATTGTTCTGGCTGCATATCTTGATAGAGTTAATTTATCTGTTAATGGATTTTATAAAACTCCGGATATTAATCATAACTGGGATAAAAATGAAGGACAAGCTTTTTATTATTTTACAACTGGAGTTGCTTGTACTGAAGTTGAAGTTGATATTTTAACAGGGGATCATACTATTATAAGAACCGATTTGGTAATGGATATTGGTCGAAGTTTAAATTATGCTATAGATGTTGGTCAAATTGAGGGTGCATTTGTACAAGGTGTAGGATGGTGCACAATGGAAGAAACTTTACATTTTCCAACTGGACACATTTTCACAAAAGGACCAGGAAATTATAAGATACCTGGTTTTAGGTAAGCTTGTGTTTTTTTTTTTTTTTTTTTTTTTTTTGGAAAGGTTGAATTTTTAAATTTATATTAATTACATTTTTTATTTATTTATTTTCTTTTCTTGGTGTTTTCTAGAGATATTCCACAAGATTTTCGTATTTATACATTCGATGGAAAATATTCAAATCTGAAAACAATTCATAGTAGTAAAGGAGTTGGGGAACCGCCATTATTTTTGGGTTCTTCGGTATTTTTCGCTATTAGAGATGCTATTAAAGCTTTCCGGTATATTATATTAACAATCATGATTATCTTGATTTAATTAAACCTTAGTTAATAAAATTTATTTTTGATGGTCATAGGTTGACAAATAATAACCATAAAGCTGTGACGCTTTGTTCTCCAGCAACTCCGGAAAGAATTCGTCTTGCTTGTGAAGATGAATTTGTAAAGAAAGCCCACGTTCGAAAAAAGGATGGTGAAAAAGAATGGATTCTTGCAGTTTAATATTATTCTATACAATTTATTATATTTAATATAACTCGTGTATTATTACTGTATTTCTAATATTTATTTGTAATTTATGAATTATTATATTATAATAATTAAAATAAAAATGAACGCCAAATTTATGTATTCGGTCCGTCGATCATTGACACGCAATAACTTAGCTATGAGATTTAGCAGATCGCTCCGTAACACAATAAAAATAAAATCAACAGTAAAAAAACGTAGATTATTGAACTGTTTTATTATTACTTTGATATTACCAATCGGGGAATCAGTTAGGAATTGCAAAAACTGTATGTAATTTACAGAACAAAATAGTAATAAATATATTTTTAGATCTAGAAGGTTGAAGATTAGCTTATTAACAACATAGTAGTTTTAACTGTTGTAGTAACTTTTATTAATTCTTTATTACTACATTGCAGGCTTAAAGAAAGTTAATATCTCGGGTTGTTGGCACTAATTTTAAAAAAAAATAGATATTAATGTAATTATCACGTGAAAATGTCCAATAAATGATACTTTTTTTTTGAAATGTCATAAAAATAAATGTATTTATGACCGGAGGTTAGTATCATATTAATTAGAAAAATATTGGATATATTATGATGATACTAGCATTTGTATGGCTGGTTACTGCTGAAAGTTGGGAAATGCCGACCCAGAAGAGTGACATCTTTAGGGATTTGTTTTTCAATTGAAAATCACTAAAATATTGATCGCCTCGAGTTCTGCTCTCTCTGGCTGTGCGTGGCTTTTGCCAAATGTTTATATGCTTATATGAACCGAAAAAATGGTACCATATTATAATACATAATGTATATTTCGCGCAAATCTAGATTGCTTACAAAACATTAAAGGTTTGAGAGCGATAAAAGCATTAGATACGCATTATCTGGATTTGAAGTTTCCAAAAAGGTCAAAGTTTGGTGTATTGCTAATTTCCTGATGTAGGATAAGGAAGCTACTCAAGTTCAAACGCGAGAAGAAATAGAATAAAATTATACATTAAAGTCAAAACTTAGTGTAGGTGACCAATAATCTGTATTTGTTCGCGCTTATTTTGAATTTAGTAGATAATCACTTTTTGCATAGAATCCCAGATATATCTCTTTTTATGATGCCCTCAAGAAAATTAGTTATGTTGATCCTTCTAATCTCTCGTAGCAAGATCTGGAGATGAGTTAGTTTTGTGAAAAATTTGGGACAGAGGCAAACATACTTTTATGGTAAATTTTACAAATTAATCTAAGAAATGAAATACAAAATCTAGATCATTATTTTATTTGGATCAATAGAGAATTCAAACCGAAAGGTTTTTTTTTCATGTAATGTGGTGTATACTGTACATATTAAAAATTAGTTGAATTTCTCAAATTTTTAATATATCAATATAAGATGAATACTTATTTAACTTTTGAATATTGATATTATACTTTCAAAGATAATTTTTTATGAACTAATTACTATTTATTCACACAAAACATGTTTATTGGTGTAAAAAGAAGTGATCGACTTGGTACATTTTTATATAAAAATCGAATTGAATAATTTATAAATAAAAACAACAAGAAATGTTTCCAACACCAAATCTTGATCATTTATCTTCAAAAGATTATGAACAAATTTATGAACCATCAGGTTTTTAGTTTACGTATATATTTTATTCGTCTTTAATGTGCCGTGGTTACTTATCAATGTTATACAAATAGAAGATACCTTTTTGCTTCTTGATGCGCTTGAAAGTGAAATTACGTTTATTAAAAATGAAATTAATCCTTGTATATGTTTAGAAATTGGGTAATTTATAAGAAACTCCATTGCGAATTATTCAAATTATCGCAATTTTAATTCATATAATGATGATAATTTTTAAATTTCATTTTTTAAAGATCAGGTAGTGGCTGTGTATCTACATTCTTAGGACAATTATTGGGCAACAATTCTGCGAGTAAATGACTTTTGTTATTGTCAACCAAATAGTTTGGCTTTCTTACACTCGGGTAGTAAATATAAGAAATTAGCTAAATGATTATTCATATTCTGGTTACAATTAAAGTTTTATTATGTACAGATATAAATCCTAATGCAACTTCAATAACTGTTGAAACAGGACGCAGAAACTCAGTATGAATTAGATAATTATTTATAATTTTTATTTAAAAATTTTATTAATTTGAATATTATTAAATAATTTTTAATTTATTTTTATGTAACTTAGGTATATTTGGATTCAATAACAACAAACTTAACATCTGGTCTTTTACCCCGACTTTTTCACTCTGTTGACATATTATGCTGTAACCCTCCCTATGCTGTCACTCCTCATGAAGATATTTATTCAGAAAATATTATTGAGAAAGCATGGGCAGGTGGTATTAATGGAAGAGAGGTGATAGATATGATTTTACCATTGGCTAATGTAAGTCTTTTTTTTTTTTTTTTCAAGAGAGAGAATTGTTGTTATGTTAAGTTTTATCAATTTGATGTAGGGAATTTATTTAAGATTAAATTATTATATCTTAAGAAGAATTTGCTATCAGATAATGGAACTTTCTATCTCTTAGTCATCAGTGATAATAAGCCAGATGAAATACGTGAAAGAATGTGGGAACAATATCAATTTCATTCAGAGGTACGATAACAATAAGAAAAAAAAAAGATTTTAAAACAGGCCTTTAAAAATAATTAAAATGTGTTCATTTATGATATAGATTATAATGTCCCGCTTAGCGGGCAGAGAAAAATTAATTATTTTGAAGTTCCGGAGAAATGGAAGAAATATAAATGATTAATTGTAATAATTCAACAAATAATCCTGAGCTATCTTCAAAATATGAATTTATGTTTTAAATGAGGACATTTTTTAAAATTTCATGCATTAATATTTAAGAATTAAATATTAATAATTGTAGTTCATACAATGAATATTCCAATAGAACAAGTTATTATCGCATGTCAATACCGTTAATTCTATAATTCTAGATTCTCAATTACAAAAAGGAAAGCATAATAATAATTTTCTATCGTGATTCTGTGATTTGGATATTAAGTACACTTACTTAGAATTGTTATTTTATAATATTTTATTTTTATTATTTCAATATATTAATATAAAATATCACACTAGTTTTAATTAAATATTATTAAAAAATTACGAAAGAAATATACATTTTTTTGGATAAATATAAAACGTAAACAATTATATATAACAAGTGGGTGAGACAATTGTAAAGTTAATTATCTATATTATTATTATTTACTAATAGTGTATTCATATAAAAAAGTTTTCGCAATTAACTTCATTTAAGGATGATCGCTTAGGCCGTTATGATGAAATCGCCACTAACGGAAATAAAAAATAAATGAATAATTTTTATATATGACAAATTTTACTTAAAATAAAAAAAAAAAAATAATATAGTTACGTGTGTGTAGTACACTGTGGTCCATTTTTTGTTGAACCCCAACTTCTAAATAAGAAAATGGCAGGCAGCTTTGTACCAAATGGAACGCTAATTTTAACCTTCTTTGAACAGGAATTTCCAGTAAAATTGGCTCCTTCACTCCACAAAACTTTGACTAATCCGTTCTGGGTAAATAATTCAACGTCATCGACACGGTATAACTCTACATCCTTATCTTTAGTCCATTTAAATTCTATTGTTTCTCCATTCTTGATTTTCGTACCTTCGGTAGGGCAGACAAATTTGAATCCTTTTGGAAGTTTATAATTGGTTTAAAAAAGAATTTTATCATTAGTCAACGCAACGATTTCTCAAATATGATATAATATATAAAAAATTTAAAAAAAAAAAAATTATTACCTCCACAGAGATATTTGAAGGTATCAGAACGTTCTTTCAACCCTTGAGGTATGGCAACAGAGTCGACAAAGGTATTTACCAAAAGACATACAATTAATAAAGCAATAATATATTTGCTATTAGAATAAGACATCTTTGATTATTTTTTATTAAAGAAATTATATATTTTTCTCGGATACTAAAATGCTAAGAGAAATGATTGAATATTTTTTTGATTTTTTCAACGAGAAAAGAAGGAATATTTATATAAATTGAAGCAAGAAATTTTATAGACAATATTTTTAATTTTACATTTTAATTTCTAATTTAAAAGAAATCCAAAACATGATCTTTTGTCGCCAAGTATTATTTTAAAATCGCGATCCAAATGTTAAAGAATATTAATCTATTAACCGAATATAGCAAGAATTTTTTGAGGCTATACTAACCAAAACTGGATAAAATTTTTATTTTTCAGATTTAAATTAATTCGTCACAGCCTTTTCGATCTATTAGTATTATATCAAGTTCTTGTAACCATTTAGAATAGTAATGAAAACGACATTTAAATTTGTTCTAATTTAGCATTATACTAGTTTAGATTATCAATTTTTATTTAACTTTTTCCCAAGATCGAATGTTAAAATGCTTCTCAAATTCACATCACACTTTGTACTAGCTTTGAAAATCTTTTCTCCTAAAAAAAAAGGAGATTTATTTTAATATGAATGTGAATAAGGTTAAATGCTTTATAAGATTTGATCACAATGATATGGATAAAGTTTAAAAGATAGAATATTGTTCGTAATGAAAACGCCGACGAATATCTTAGCTTTTTAAAGGCCTTGCCTTCCGAAAATCGAAAATAATTCAGTCTTTGAATTGTTAAAAATGATGATTTATAAGATATTAACTATAATTATTTTTAGTCGATTCGAATGTTTTGTATGACGTATATAATATTTTTCTTTTTGAAAGAAACCCTTATTTGAAAATGTTCTATATTTAATTTTTCTAATCGCTACTATTTTTAAATAACCGATGCGATGTATTATACGTAGACCAAAATTATTTCGACCGTTGAGTTAAAAATAAGATGCCTAAAATAAATGCACTATTGTTTTTAATTGGCAATTAACTCAAGATGTGAAAATCGTCGAATCCTCAATCATTGTGTATTCAGATGAAGCAATTTTTAAGTCTTAGCCAACTTTCGAAATTATATAGTTCAAACTTTAAATTGGCCTTCTTTAACCTTAAAATTACAGGTTTTCAAAGTCTTGTATTTACTTTGAATATTATCAAAACCATTTATTATTACGATCATTTTTTTCGATATCACATATTGAGTTTCATAAAACTCTATTAAAATACATAATTTTATTATTAATCTTTTCGATTTTATTTAATATTCTAAAGTTTTAACCATTTCTTCACATTTTATTAAAATTTCAACTCTAAAGAGCTTAAAATCTCATTTAAACGGAAAAAATCATGGTTACAAGTTTGATACTTTGCCCTGTCGATCATCGACTCATATGCAGTAAACAATTAATTACGAAGCTAGATCTTGCTTTAATAATTTCATTCGTTATTGTCAACGAAAGATTAAATAATAATAATAAAGCAAAGACTTGGTGATTTATGTTTAATAATAAATTTGGGCCACCTTCCCCAACATTTTATAGCATATATTATGATTCAATTTTATTATAATAAATAAAAAATGGAATGAAAAATATATTAAACTATAATAACAAGTAAATTATTTTAACTAATATTTAAAAAATCAGAAGCAACTAAATAAAAATAAAACAAAAATATAATTGATACTTAAAGCAGAAGTAGAATTGGTTAATTCTTCATGTTCTTTTTCAAAATTTTCATTATTCTGAATTGAAAAGTCTACTAGTATAAATTGCTTGTGAATAAGTTTCATAATTCATTGGAGTTGTGGTTGTTGTATTTGAAAAATTTATAGCATTTTCAACTTGAATTATTATTTTCATAATTATATTTGTAACTCTTGAATCGATTGTTCAAAGATGGGTCTATAAGTAACTCGAGCATCCCTATATCATAATATAAAAATGGAATTTTTGTTCGTAATCCATCACATTTTTCTTGCTAATTTTCTATCATGTGTATGGTGCAAAGCCAGTAATAAAAGAGTATACATCATGTATTCTTCCCCTTACCTAGCACAGGATAAAAATGGTGTAATCAAGTTTTTTTTTTTTTGATTTGATCATCAGAATTTTATTATCCCAATTTTTAATTGTGAATAATATGGATAATAAAGAAATTAATCCTGAAAAGAAAAATAAATGTCGAAAAGGTCGTACATATCGATATCGTAAACGTGAAAAGTTACAAAATTTATGTTTTAAAAAAAGAGGAAAAGGTTAGTTTTTTCTTTACTTCAGTGTAAGTTTATAATAAATAATAATAAATATTTTATATCTTTTATTCTCACTTAAAAAAAGTAATTCAAGATGATAATTGGAAATCATTTAGAAAATGGTCAAAACACCAAGGATTACCCAAAACTAAATTTACATTAGCTGAATTTGGAGGCATGTATTATCTCCTGCTGCTGTTATTATTATTGATGAACTCTATTAGTTAAAATAAATCAAATAATAAAAAAATAAATTAATTAATTAATAGACACCGGGAGAGGATTAATGGCTACTAAGGATATTAAGGAAAGCAAATAAATTTATTAAATTATCAAAATTACTTATATTATTTGTTAAATATTTATTAATTTATTTATTATTAGGAAGGAGAAATTTTAATATCAGTTCCCCTAAAATTAATATTTACAAATAAAAAAGTGAATGAATTATTAATTAAAGAATTTGGATTAAGGTATATTAATAATTAAAAAATTAACAAATAATATAAAAATTAATATACATAAATATATTATATAGATATTCAATTAATCAATTATTTATTTATTTAACTATTTGTTTGTTTATTTAATTTAATACTTAATAAAGAACTTTTCAATCCTTAAAATTAACCTCTCACCAACTGTTAGCACTTTATTTGGCTTTAGAATACCAAAAAGGAATAAATAGTCAAATATATTCCTATATTCAAATGTTACCAAAAGATTTTGATGATTATATGCCAATATATTTTGATTACAAATTATTAGAATTAGTTCCTGATCATATGAAAGGTAAAATAAGAAATGTACCCTTTTTCTCTCATTTCTTTTTTTCTAATATACAATTTTATATACACCATTTATTCATTATATCGTAGAATTAATCGACTCCCAGAAAATCAAATTTGAAAAAGATCTTATTAAAGTTTCTGGTTTCTTAAAGGTACATTTTATGTATTTATATGTGTGTTATCATTTTATTAGATATTCTATATATTATCTACAGTATATTTATAATTGATTATACTATTATAGTCAAATAAAATTACAAGAGAAAGGTTTTTATGGGGATGGATGTGTGGTAATAATTGATAATATTATTATATATGTATCATTATATATATATATCAGTTATATTTTTATTTATAATAATTACAGTGAACCCTCCATAAATGCACTCCCCGGGGAATCAGCATTAGGGTGCATTTATAGAGGGAAATTTTATAAGTGTTATTAGTGGACGGGGCTAGAGTATAGGGCGCATTTATAGAGGGATAAGGTGTATTTATAGAGGGTTCACTGTATTTATATTAATTATATTTATTTATATTAATTGTCTCCAATTTATAGTTACATCCAGATGCATTTATTTAGAAAATTCAAAATCTTGGTTAAATTCTGATATCAGAGAAAATATTGCAATTGCACCAATGTTGGATTTTTTAAATCATAGTTTTGATGCAAAAGTTAGTAATTTATTTTTTTACTGTTTTGATTATTTTAACTATATTTTTATCTGATATTTGCAATTTATAGATAAAAGGAGAATTTAATAAATCAAACCAGTGTTATGAGATCACTACATTTACTCCTTATAAGAAGGGACAACAAGTAATTTTATTATTTTATAAATGAGAGAGATAGAACAATAATATTTACTAGGTATATTTGCATTAATACATCATTAATACAGTATTGATAATATTAATTTAATAATATTAATAATAATTTAGGTTTTTATAAATTATGGACCACATGATAATTATTTAATCTTACTTGACTATGGATTCACTATCTTAAATAACCTTTATAATTACATATCACTTGATAATGAATTTTTTAAATTTAAAATTCCCACAGAAGATGAAAGAATTTGGAAATTTAAATCAAAATTATTGATGGAAAATGGATTTTATGGGTAAGTTAACCAAATTTTAATATATTAATATATTGTATATTTATTTGTTGAATTTCTTATATCAAAATTATTAAAATATTAATGTCCACAATGTATATATATGAAGTGATTACACTTTAAATAAATCACAAATATCATTTCGTCTTTTATCAGCATTACGATTAAGGTTGTTACCAGAAATCGTTAATATGAATGATAATAGTAATAATGATAATAGTATATTTTTATCTCCTCCAATTTCTCAATCTCTTATTACAAACTGGAAATTAACTTTAAATGGAGAAAGAGAAATTATAAATAATGAAAATGAAGTTGAGATTTATAGATGGATTTATAATATTTGTATGGAATTGAAAAATCAATATGAAATGAAACTGAAAAATATCGATAATTTTGTAAGTATTTTATTTATTTATAATTAATCAGTGTTTATTAATGTTTATTTATTAATATTTTATTTCCTAAAAAATTAATTAATTTGTAATTAGAAAAAATTTGAATCTAAAAAATCATCCAATGGTCTAACAAACATCAAACTTCTTTGGATTGAGTCAATTGATATTTTAAATTCTGTGAAAGAATTATGTAATGAATTCCTTCATTAAATTTTTATGTATCATTGTTATTAATGTCATTATTATGTGTGTCTTTTTTTAAAGTTATGTTAATGCATTATTGTTAGATTCATTTAACTATGTAAAATAAATAAAAAAAATAGAAATTTTACTATGCTATTATTGTGAAGAATGAGATTAGAAATTTATAATCATATAAAACATATTTTAAATGCTAAATTGTTATTACGATATCTCATTATCTGATATATATTTAATATATTATGCATTAAAGAAATTGGCATTTGGCACTTAGATGATGTTAATGTGCTGTAAAAATTTTAAAATCAAAATTTTTTTATCAACAAGGCATAACTTGCAGAAAATTGCTTATTTTAAATATAACTGCTAATTAACTAATTATTCCAATACATTACACTAATATAAGTATAGTTAATGAATATAAAAACAATAATAATTAACTAATTATATTACCCAATTCAAATGCTAAATCCCAAATCATTAAATAAACTCTATTATATTTTATACTTGCTTATTTCTTATGTATTTAAATTACTATTCCAAATTCCAAATCCCAAATCCCAAATTAATTTTATTTACTGATGAATAAATAATAAATAATAAATATAATATAATAAAATAAAATAAATAAATAATAATGATAACTAGTTAGAAAAAAAGTTTTTCCTCCATTTCTATAGAGAGGAGCCCCTGATTTCCCAGCTCATTTGCCTCTCTCAACAATTCATTAGAGAAATCATCTTTAACTGTATTGTACTGAACAGGTAATTGTCTGAGCCTGGTATAAGTGGTTTATTCCTCTGGCCTGCAAAAGTGGAATTCCATACTTCTCTAGGGCAGTGTGATTGACAGTCTGATTTTGGTTGTATGACTTCAACTTTTTTCTCTAAGATTTTTCCAAATAGATAAAGTTGCCCAAAGTCATTGTCTAACTGTTGACAAGCATGGAAACCTTCTTTTTTCAATCAGGAATAACCTTTAAGGGTGCAATTTTGACAGGATTGTCTGAGTCTCTGATATAAACATTCATTGATTCCTTATGTTTACACTCTATTTAAAGCATCTATAACAAGGTGAAGTAATTTCTTCAAGGTTTATAACAAGGCAGTAGGAAAAGGAGCAAAAACGTGATATAATTATATAAAAAAAGTGATGTAATCAATTATGACATATGGCATAATTAATTAAAACATATGGTAAAAGAGTGGGGTCAAACCTATTTTTGGATTCCTAAACTTTTTGAAATTTTATCTTAGTCCTAAATCCTTTTCCTAAACTCTAAAAACTTTGCCCAACCCTCCTAAATTATCCTAAACATTCTAAGTATTCTAACATTCTAAACCTTCCTAAATTTTCTAAACTATCCTAGGGATTTTTATTTTCATTTTTTTTTATCATATTAAACCTCCTAAACTTTCTAAGTCTTCTAAATTTTTTAAATTGTTTTAAACTTTTTTAAACTTTCAAATTATTCAAGTTTTAAATTTTATTTAAATTAATTAAGATTTTTAAATTTTTTCAATAACAAAGAATACAAATAATCATAAAAAAATCTACAAAATTTTAAGCAAAAAATAAATAGTTTTTTTTATAATAGCTCTAAACAAAATTTTTATGAAATATCAATAATTTAGTAAAAATAAGAAAATAAAATTATAAAATATAATTAAAGTAAGTAATTTAAACTAGGAAATGAGAACTATTGTAAATCTGTAGAAATTTATAAAATAATATTAGAAATAAAATACTGATAAAATTAATGTAAATGTCACAGGTCAAATACAAAAGATAAGTCATACTGAAAAGAAATTCTGATTTTAGCTAATTTATAATATAGAATACAATAGGACAATCAATTGTTACTGATTTTTAGCTGATCTATAGTATAGAAATTACCATTTGGTACAGTGATTCTTTTGTATTTGACTAGTGTGTATTATGACAAGAATTGCAACTATTTTTATAATTGTTACAATACCATAATACTATAATTATGTTTCAATGACATAATTCTGCTGTAATACCATAATTATGTTATAATATAATTATATTTAAAAGGCAGAAATAATTATTGATAGTTTCTATGTATAGAATATCTTATTTTAATAATTAAATGTCAAAATTGTATTAAGTAAGAATAAATTACAGTACATATTATATAAAAATAATTGACCTATTTTATCAAAATTGAAAGAATCATTAACAGCTAAAGTTTGAACAAATGAAAAGATTTTAAAATAACAATCATTCACTCAATTTTAATAAGGTAGGCCTGCAATTCTTATAGGATGTACATTAATTTTTATCTTTGAAGATCACATGTTCTATAAGAATTGTAGATCTATTTCATCAAAATTAAGTAAATGATTATTATTTTAAAATTTTTTCATCTATTTGAGCTTCAGCTGTTAATGGTTCTCTCAATTTTAATGAAATAAATCTATCCTTTTTATATAATACACAATTCATTTTTGTCTTTAAAGTTACTTAGTACCATTTTGACTATACTTGCATGTAAAATAGGCTATTATAGTAAGTCAAAATATTTTGAAATCCAAAAGTCAAAATAGTTTTTCTTAGAAGATGATTTAATTTTACTTAAAACTTAAAATTTTTTGACAACCAGATAAATTCTTTAATTGAAAATACATTAAAATATGTATTTTTTTTTATTTCTATATATAGAATAGATATCTCAAAAATCTTAAAAAGACAAAATATCTCAAAATTAGAAAACAATTTTGGAAACATGTATAATTTTGACATTTGCTTATTAGAATAAAAAAGTTTATATGCCATAACCATTGACAATTATTTTCAATTAAAACCAATAGATCAGTTTTATAATCAATGAAATCAATTTTCATATTTAATTTAATAACAAAAAATTACATGGAATTTAATTTTTATTATGTCTAGAAGTATAGCTATGCTTTGGACTTTTGCAGTTAGTTAAATACAAAAAATCACAGTACCAAATGGTAATTCCTATATTATAGATTAGTTAAAATCAGAATTCCTATATCATAAACCAGTTAAAATCAACTGTCCTATTTTATCCTATATTATAAATTAGCTAAAATCAGAATTCCTATTTGCACTACCTATTTTTTTTTGTATTTAACCTGTATTAGATAATTAAGTGATAAAATTGCATGACATAACTTATCTATACTCTATACATGTTATCAAAACTATTGAATTGAGTTGGATACATGCCAGTTAAATACAAAAGAATTACTGTACCAAATGGTAATTCCTATATTATAGATTAGCTAAAATCAGAATTCATATATTATAGACCAGTTAAAATCAACTGTCCTGTTTTATCATATATTATAAATTAACTAAAATTGAAATTCCTATTTGTGCTATCTATTCTTTTGTATTTGACCTGTGACAATTAAAAATTAAAAAAATGGAAGTTAAATTAAGCAAAATTTTCATTTTTACATAGTAAATTGACACAATTTTGAGTCTGACAATATGAATTGAAAAAATTGAAATTGAGTTAAAGGTTTTTTACTTTTGATAACATGTATACAATATTCTATATCATTTTTTTAAAATCCAAAAAGCATTTTAGATACCTGTAATCAAGTGGCAAAGTTATATGACATAACCTATCAATACTCTATATCATTTTTTAAAATTCAAAAAAATGTTTCTAGATACTTGCAATCGAGTGGTAAAGTTACATGATATAATCTAATCTATCAATACTCTACATTATTTTCAAAGAATTCAAAAAATGTTTCTAGATACCTACTAAAATAAAATATTCAATTAGAAAGTTTGACACAAATACAAAATCATCATATCTTGAGTTACAATATATTCATAAAGTTGTTGTAATACTGAATGGAAATAATCTATTCTAGTTGAAATAAAGTAATTATTTTATTTCCACTAAAACAATGTAACTACTCAAATAGTAATATTATATAAGAAAGGTTTATATTAAATAATAAAAGAAAGTTAAATATAAATTACTTTTTCTAATAATTTTTTTCACCTACAACACTATTTTTAATTGTTAAAACTTGAATGTGTCCTAAGGAGGTAATTAATGACTCAAGCAATTTTACATAATAGATTTTGAGTCAATTTCTACAAACAAACTTGTAAACTCTATTGTTTAAAATATATGTATAAAGTCTATTTCATTTTGCTTCTAACTTTTGTTATCCATATAAATCTTCTACAATTTACAAAGACAATAGGATAAAATAATACTAAACCAATAAACAAAACTAAATAAAACTATAAGAATTACTAATTTCAAGATAAAATAATCACAATACAAGGGTTTATACGTAGAAGGAATTAAGTACAATCAATTATGAAAGAAGTGTATTTAACTATTAACAGTGGTATGAAGACTTGTTAATAAGAGCAAACAGTTTATCAATTACTAAAGAATACAATAAACAAGGACTCAAAGGATTTTGTAATATTAACTTTATTATTTAATAAATCCTAACTGAAAAATTAACTAAAACTTGAAGAACTGAATGAAACTAAAGACTGAGTTGAGAGAATTCTTAGTCTTTTTATACATTATGATTTTAACTGCTAAGCTAACTTGTAATTTGACTGTAAACTTTACTAGTAACTATGTTAATATCTTAACTGGTATCTTAACTGTTAATTTAACTTGTACTTTAACTGAGATATTAACTCATACTCTGGCTTGTATTCTAATTTGTATTCTAGTATTATAGATTAAAAAGAATTTTAGGAATTTACTAATTTAAGTAATAATATCTAATTTGTACTACAGACTATTAAATTGATCTACTGTAATACTATTTATATAATAATAAGAAATAAATATATAATAACTAATAATAAAATAATATATATACAATAGAATATATAATAATAAAATATATAAATAATTAATAAAAATAAAGATAAAAGCAGAGGTAACACTTTTCACTCTATTTCTTGTTTGATTGCATCCGGAGTGTTAACTTTTAATTTGGAGGTTGGTTTTCAAATGTACAGTGTTGACCCTGTTTCTTTATTTTTTTATATTTATATATATTTTTATTATAACATATTTTATTATTATTATTTTATTATTATATTAGTATTTCATATATGTATTATCTTATTTATTTTTAGTATAGTATATTTATTCTTGTATTACCTTATTAGTATTTGTGTAACAGAGATAAAATACCTCAGATATGTAACATTATGCGATACGAGATAAAATACCTCTGGTAGCTACTGGTAAAATACCTAGGTAAATTAATTCCAGTATTAATAATCACGTTGGAATGTTACGGAAACTTCTGGAATTTTCTTGAAGTTAATAATTATAGTTTGTGATATGGTCTAAATTTTATATAAATAGAAGCTGTTTCTGCTTCTTTTAAAGGAACAGTTGAAATAGAATTGAATATTCTAATAACCCAAAATAAAATATTGTTTATAAATTGATATCTTTCTTGGTGAATCATATAGTTTATATTGTGACTTTCTTAATAAAAAACTCTCTTGTTATTTGCCTTGCTTTGTGATCTCAGCAATCCTTGTTATTGTTACTCTCTTCTTGATGATAAGAGTAATTGTTGGTTATAATACCTTACTTCGTGATCTCGGTATTATAGTTACTTAATAATTAATCCTGTTTTGTAATCTAGGTTAAGTTATTAAGTTCTTTGTGAATTTGTTTAGTTTCTTGTTGAAACTTTGTTGTCTTTGTGACTTAGCTAATAAATCCCTTATAAAACCTCACACCTTAGCCTTTTTTGACCAAATTCGCTTTACCCAAATCCTTCTTATCATTACTTTATTAAAAGTAATACCCACCCAGCTGTAGTTAATTATTATAGTGTTTAAAGTTTATAAATACAATTTCCACTACCAGTCGCTTAGTTTTCTTTGGTTTCTTTAGAAGGTAAACCAAGGTTAACAACAGTATCACAAGTCAAACACAAAAGAATAGGTATACTGAAAAGGAATTCCAATTTTAACTGATTTATAATATAGGATATGACAGGATAGTCAATTTTTAGCTGGTCTATGATATAGGAATCACCATTCAGTACAGTGATTCTTTTGTGTATGTAATGATAAAACATGTGATTAGAGTAAATTTATACAATTGGTATAATCTTTGTTTTAATTTGTTTATTTTATTATTTAAATTATTTTATCTAAACTATTATAGTACTTACAAGTTCTACTTACTCATTGCCTACATGCACAAATCCCTTATAAATAAAAATTTTAATCAGTTAGCATTTATAAATTATTATATAAATAATACAGTTGGGATTATACTTGCACGCAAAATTATTTTGGAGCCCCGAAATTGCAATTTCGGGAAAAAAAGTCAAAATAGTTTTTCATAGAAGACGAAATTATTTTACTTAAAACCCGAAATTTTTTGACCACCCAGATTTATTCTTTGATTAAAGATACATATAACTAGGTACTTTTTTTACTTCCATATATAGAATAGATTTTGCATAAATCTCAAAAAGTCGAAATACTTCAAAAATCCAAAATCAATTTTGAGAACATGTATAGTTGGGATATTGTAAAAATATATAATTTTTTTAATAAACAGTTAAGGTAAAATTGATCCAATTCATTAACTTTAATAGTTGTTGGATCAAATAATATTCCTGTAATGGTAAATTGCTTAAATTTGATCAGATCAAATAGCATCACTAAGAATCCTGTGGTTTCATTTCCACAACTTCACATGTTGAATGATCAAAATTGACAAGTTTTTTGGCTCAAAAATTTCATATACCTATTCCTGTCCTGTTTTTTTTGGCTATTTGCAAATGGTTTTTATCAGGTTTTTCATTTATATTTTTTTAGTTGATAAAATCTTATGTACCATACATACATGTAAAGATACATGTCATAATTATTTACAGGAGTTGCAATCGGTTGTACTATAATTGATATAATTCAACATAATTAAAAATATTTGACACAATTTGATGTAATCATTTTATAATTGATGCAATTGACATATTAATTTGACTGTGAAGTATAATTACAACGACATATATGCAATACAAGTTTGAAAGGTGATTAATGTATGAATTGTAAAGATGTCTGTTTTTTCACATCTGTGTTTCATTTGAAGATTTAAAGTCAGAATGTCATCAATCTGTGACAAGGGATATTGAATCTTTTTTTTTGTTAATGCACACTATACGAAGTTCCATTTTGCTTTTTTTATATTGGTGATTTCCATGGACTGGCAGATGATTGTATTATTTCCTTTTCCTTTTTAACATTTACTTTACCTGATGCCATGGAAATTATTTGTCCAAGAGAACCGTGAAGTGTAATATCATCAAAACTATTGAATTTGGTCAGATACAATTAAAATTACAAAAAATTGGAATTAAGCCATATAAAAATCACAATTGACACAATTATTTGGTCGAAATGAGGCCTTTCAGCAATCACAAAATTCGGTCAACTTTCGGCTAATTGCCAAAAAAAATTTGGCCTAAATTCGGCTATCAATAAAATTCAGCCAAAATTCGGAAATTCCAAATTTTGGCCGAAACTTAAAAATCATCTTAAATTCAGCTTTAAGTTTCGATCAAAATGTAGGATTCCTGAATTAGTGCTGAATTTAATACAATATTATGATATGTTGAATTGTTGCCGAAATGCCCATTTCAGAAATATAATACTTCGGCAACAATTCGGTATATCAAGATTTTTTATTAAAATTTAACCAAAATATTATATAATATTTTTAGCCTAAATTCAGTCGAAATTCAGAAATTCAGAATTTGTGCTGAAATTTGATATAATATTTCGATATCCCTGTTAATAAATTTCAGAATTTCCGAACTTGGCTGAATTCATAAACAGCTGAATTTAGTATAAATTCAGCCAAAATTCGGAAATTCTGAATTTTAGCTGAAATTTAATATATATTTGTTTTCAGATTGTATGCCGAAAGATGATTGCCATTCGTCACACAAACAGAAGTAAATTTCGGCAAAAAAAAAAATGGCTACCTTTCGGTTGGCTTTCAGCTGAAAACCTGCCATCTGAAATGTAATATTTTGACCAGTGTATTACATAGATGCAATTAAATTTCTGAAATTGAGTCAAAGGCTTTTTCATTTTTGACAACATGTATAGAGTATAATCACCAGTGATTCTTAATACTGAATGGATTGTAGACTATTAATGTATGATTTGTAAGAATTATATCATGGTTATTAGTAATCTGAATAATTTGAAAAAAGGAAGATAGAATTGATCGAATTTCTGTTCTTGGAGGAAATTTAGTATGGAGTTAATATAATGTACAAAATATATCTTTTATTAACTTTTATAAATATTATATTTGAAGAATTAAATTTAATTTTAAATACAATACAAAACTCATTGGATCACATAAAAAAAAGTATTATCCCATGCTTTATATAGGAGATATTGTCAGGTTTTTACAGAAAAATTCAACGAAAATTAAAAATTTCTACATAGTTGAATCTGGTCATCAATCGATCTAGCTCTAAACAGATAGGTTCTGCTTCAAGTCAGAATGTGTTTTTTCTGGACTAAATTATTTCAATCAATAATCACAAATTGTCAATATTAAATTGCTTACTTAATCATTGTACTTACGGTATTTGGATATTTAATAAACAAAAATGCACATGATTTATTTACTGCAGGGTTCTAGTTATCTAGTTATGATATGCATGATTACTTCAGGCGCAGCATCGAGTTAAGATTAATAAGATTAGGTAAATGATACACGATATCGCCAATTCGAGAAATATCTTTGAGCCATGTGCCAAAAAATTTAAGGAGGTTTGTTCTACCACATGTAAATTTTTTAAAAAATAAACTAATATACATACCGAAAAAACATCATAAAGTAACGTTTAAGCCTCAAGAATTTTTTTTTTAAAACATTTGTATATATTCTATAGAATTAAATCAAGGCAGAAAAACAAATACAATTGGGGTAAACTTCGCCTGTCCATGCTTATATGTTTATTTTTTTTTTTTTTAAAAAAAAAAAAAAAAGTATACATCCCAAACCCTAATCAATGTAATCAACCTAAATAATAAATGTAAAGAAAATAAAATAACAAACCCTTTTTAACATAAATCGGTTAAAGTTGTTGCGTATCATCTGTGTGAGAAATGAAAATAATATAATAATATAGAGATAATGTCTTGTGCATAGACTTTTAACAACTTGTTAGGAAATATGCCCGGAGTAAAAATTATTGGTTTAACTACAATTGACAACTACAATTAAATAAATTGAACTATTCAATTAAATAAATTGACCAAAAGAAGAATATTTGCTTTTTTTACTTCTGCAGCTTATCTGTTCTGTCATACATTTAGTTGAACTCTTTCGGATAAAATGATTAGCATAATTCCTTCTTTTTACGTTCGATCAAAAAAAAACAACGCCCTCTCTCTTTATAAACAGGATTTACGACAAGAAATTTCCCAATTCCAAGAATATTATATATTTAGTTTATTTGTGTAAAATGTAATGTATAAATAAATATCTATTAAATATTTTCTCTTTTTCATTATTATTTTTTTTTCTTCAGCTATTAATAATAATTTATTTATTTTATATATTTGTAAAATGTTAAAAATTAAAATATTGATGAAAAATAAAATATTGAATATATTTAGGAAAAATAAATCAATATCCAATCAGGAAATACTTACTCTTTCGCTACAAGAAGAATCAAAAATAAGCGATAACTTGCAAGAAGAATCTAATCATCAAGAATTAGAAATACACGATAATCAACACCAAGAATCCAATCGACAAGAATTAGAAACACAGGATAATCAACTACGAGAATCCAATAAACAAGAATTAGAAATGCACGATAATCATCAACAAGAACAGCAAGGAGGAGAACAGCAAGGAGAACAGCAAGGAGAAAAACAGCAAGGAGAAAAACAACAAGGAGAACAGCAAGGAGAAAAACAGCAAGGAGAACAACAAGGAGAAAAACAGCAAGAAAGACAAGAAACAACAAATTCTTTGAAATCATATCATGAAGAAACTTTAAAACAAAAACAAAAAAAGAAAAGAGAATACAAACAATTTAGTTATACTTGGGTAGTAAAAGATTTTCAAAACTTGTACGCAGATAAAAGTAAAAAGTATCTTTTTAGCGACTCTTTCACATGTGCTACGCCTTTATCTTTTGACGATGACTCCAATAACGACGACGAAGATATTCACGATATAAAAAAATTGACCAAAATTGATAATGAAAATTCTACTGATGATAATAATAATAATAATAATAATAATAATAAAAATAATAATGAGGAGGCTAATAACAATATAGAAAACAATGATAATACAAATTCGGATACAATAACATTCAATAATAATTATAATAAAGAAAAAAAACATAATCCTCAACAATTACGACTTGAACATAAATGGCGTTTACTTCTTTATCCACATGGAAACCGTAAAGATGTCAATACACATATTTCACTTTATCTTGCACCAGTTCAAAGTCTTTATGAACGTCAAAATAATATTACATCTAGAATAGCGAAATGGAGATTTGAAATATATCGTATTAATAATGAAGAAAGTGGAGACCAAATGGCAGGTTTAACGAAATTGGTTTGTCATCAAGATGTAATTCAAGAAAAATTTACATTCTTTTCCGAAGAACCAAATTGGGGTATCGTGAAATTTTGTGATTTTAATACAATATCTACAAATCTTAATTCTAATCCTATGGAAAAAGTAGATCTTGTATTCCGAGTACACTTTCTCGATAAAAATGAAAATTTCTCCACAACCGATGATAGTATTGATAATTTAAATATAGATTTATTATTAAAATTAGGGCCGTCATTAAAGAATTATTTTAATAATGAAAAATTTAGTGATGTAGAATTCACATTTAGTGATACGGAAGAAAAATTAAGAGCTTCAAAAATAGTTTTAGCATCAAGATCTAAATATTTTAACACGATGTTTAATGGTTATTGGGTAGAATCAAATGTTAATACAATTTATATTAAAGATGTTAGTTATATTGTATTTAAAACCATAATTTATTTTCTTTATACTGGACAAATTGATAAGAATTTAAATTTTGATATTTTCAAAAATGTTTATTACGAAGCAGATATGAGAGAAATTCCAGAATTAACAAAAATAATTAGTATTTTATTGGTTAAAAAGATAAATAAAACTAATTGGGACGAAATGTTATTAATGGGTTGGCAAACTGATAATAATAAATTATCAGAGCATGGATTAATTTATGTAAAAAGTCGATGGAAAAATTTAAAGAATACAGAGAAAATGAAGAAATTATTAGAAATTGGAAATACGCAATGGATCGATGAATTAAAATCATGGATTGATGAAAATAATAATAAATAATTAACAATATTATTAAAAGTAATTTTAATAATAATTTTAATAGCAGTTTTTAATAATAATTTTAATAATAATTTTTTTTAATAATGATTTTTAATATAATAGCATATTAATTTTTTAATAATAATTTTAATGATAATAGTAATTTTTAATAGTAATTTTTGAAGAAGGCAGAGAAAATTATACAAACGAATTCAAGTTGAAATGCAATAGATTATAGAGATTAAATAGAACAAAATTTCGAAATTCTTTCCTTCTTATTCATTCATGAACTATATATTTAATTTTTAGTATTAATATTAGGAATTAAGATATTGTTAATCTTTAGGTTTAGCTAACTGTGTATTTATATAATATATAAACTTAAATGTATCTTTAGAATAATAAAAACCATGTAATTATTATTTCATTTATTATTTTATTCGAAGGTTTAATTTTTCGGAATTTTTCAGTAATTTAATTCCACGTTTTTTCCCCATTGAACTTGATGAATATTGTTTAATTTCAGGTCATTCATTTTAATACTTGTTTTTTTTGTGAATAATAGAATCAATGCAATTAATCAGCCAGACTTGAATAAAAAAAGTACATGCAACTAAAATTATATGTATATTTAATAACTTAGAATATTTTCTTACTTTCAAGTGAGATTTTAGAGAATTAAAGTGATATAGGCCGGAATTGTGAGATCTTAATATTAGCGAAATGCCGATGATTACTATAAATTTTTATTTCATCATGAGAAACTAAGCATTCAAATTTCAATGAATTGGCCTCGAATCTAAAATGGCAATTGATTTTTTTTTTTTTTTATTACCATATTATCTTACTGTCTTTCTCAATTATTCTTTTTGATTTTGATGAATAAAAAAAAGATTCTATTTAGAAAAGAAAATCTCATATTAATTTCTAAAAATCTTTCTTCGTGAATATAAAATAATATTTGATGAAAATATGCAAAAAAAAAATTGTTTATATTATTATGAAAATCTAATTGAAAGGAAAAAAAATACCAAAATAGTTTTTTTTTTTTTAATAATCTTTTATCATTTAATTCTAATATTTTATAATTTATAATATTTATTCCACAAAACATTATTATCGTTTTTAGCAAAAAAAAAAAAAAAAAAATTAATACAAAAAAAAAAATTACAAAAAATATTCATTCCGTCACTACTACTCGTATACCATGTTTATCTAATAACTCCATCAACTCCCGCTCTTGCATTAGATAAACTTGCTCCTAAGATCAATTTTGAAGATTTAATAAATTATTTTTAGTTCAAATAATGAAAAGTAATGTTATGATCAAACTTACCTCTGGTGTAAATCGAACAACACCATTTACAGGTGCACCATAATTCTCCAAATAAAATTTTAAAAGATCAACGTCCCCATATCGAATATTTTGCATTATCAACATCCTATATGTTTTTTTCTCCCTTATATCTGAAATATGCCAACGTCCATTATTATCAGAATTCGAAGATTGTTCAACACTTCCAGCAGAACATCTTGCAAATTTTGAATTCATTCTCGCCACATATTTTTCAAGAAATTCTAATTTTGGATTTGTGGATGATGATATCGTTTCCGAACCATTATATTGGGTGGAAGCGCATTTATAATTAGACATGTTCTGGTGGGGCTGAAGATAACACGCGCCATCGCCAGAAAAACATGTATAATTTTGGGGAGGATCTAAGGTAGGAGCTTTATCAAGTGAATATAAAACCGACCAATATGTCGGCCATCTTGAATTTGTATTTGCTTGACGGGATATACTTAAGTAACCTGAATAAGCGTATCCTATATTATTAGTTGAATCAACAAAAAATTCATCCATAATACGATCAAGTAATCTTGGTGCTCGATATTGTAAATGTGCACCATATGCAAAAAGAATTAATGAACCTGAATGTACTGAACGGCCATATACATGACGGAGGAACAAAATAAGTTCTCGTTGAAAATGTGAATTTAATATCCTACAAGTTCGAGATAAATGTGAATATTCAGGTAAAGTTAAATGGAATGAAATCCTTGTGAGTAGTTCATCGGGAAGAGATAAAATATTGGCTTTTATTTCGTGAGTCATTTGTGTTAAAATTATTTCAGAAGATACCGAAGAGGAGGATGTATTTTGAATGGTATTGCGTTGTGTCCGCACTTGTCTCTTTCTACAACGAGCCGAACTAGTATTCATTTTTGATATTAACTGTGATTGAAAGAAAACTTTGCTCAATATTAAAATATTAGATGATAAAATATTTAACAGTAAACTAAGCAAGAAATGAAAATATAAATCTGCACTAGATTTAAAGTCCAAGAAGGTTGGAGGCTGTAAAAAAAAATTTTTTTCTCAATATGGTAAACCAGCAATTTATTTCACAACATAAATACTCGTTGGTTGTCAACCAAAAGATCCCGTGAAAAAAATTCCCACATGACACGATATCGCAACATCGAATTGATGATTGGATCTAGATTTACCATATTAAGAATAGTAATTTTTAATTTCAATTCTATCTGTAAATATAAAAAACATTTTTTTGTTCAAATTGGATATCTCTGTCTTCAATAAATGATTATCTGTTATAAATTTTATCTTTATAGGTAATAGGAAAAAGTAACCAATTATTCTTGAACACAAGCTTTTGTTTTGACTCAATAACTGGGCAATTTTTATGTAGCTTTTATCAAAATAAATAAATAATAATAAATTATTAATTAATCAAAGTCTAATTGATCAAAGTTTGAAATTTTATATATTTAATTCAATGTATATCATTCTTAAAACAATCATTGAATAACAATGAATTGATAAAAAAAAAACTATCAAAGAATTAACTTGGTTATATTGAAATAACCATCTTTATGTATTTTCCATCAAGCAAAAATTTCAGGGCATAATATTCTTGTAAATATATGAGATTAGTTAAATAAAGACCATATCTCATTTTCATAATTTTTTTAGAGAAAATATGAATCCAAGTTTGATACTTCAATTCCAACAATGATATATTTATTGTAATATATAATCGTGTTGTAAAATGGTAATTAGAAAATTATGCCATTCAAATCATTATTAACTTTTTGGTTACAATTAAAGTTTTATTACGTAAATACTTTAATCCAAATGCAACTGCAATAACTGTTGAAACAAGATTCAGAAACTCAGTATGATTTAGATAATTATATATATAATTGTATTTAAGATTTTTATTAATTTGAAAGAAAAATTTGAACATATTAATTACAATTTATATAATTTATATGTAACCTAGAATATTGGATTCAATAACAACAAATTTAACATCTGGTCTTTTGCCTCGACTTTATCTCTGTTGACATTTTATGTTACCATTCCTACGCTTTCACATCCCGTAAAGATATTTATTCAGTAATATTATTAAGAAACCATAAGTCTTTTTTTTTCAAAAGAAAGGATGGTTTTTATATGAAGTTTTTATCAATTTGATGTAAAGAATTTATTGAGGATTAATTAATATTATGTCTTAAGAAAGGATTTGCCATCAGATAAAAGAACTTTCTATCTCTTAGTCATCAGTGATAGTAAGCCAGATGAAATACGTGAAAGAATGTGAGAACAATATCAATTTCATTCAGAGGTAAGTAAAAATTAAAGAAAAAAGATTGTAAAATAGACCTATTATTATGTCTGAAATGAGGACATGTAAAATAAAACACCTTAGGGATATTAAAGAAATAGCAAAAGGTAATTTCGGCACTATATATTATACTAAGTGGAGTGGATTATTGATGGGTCAATTTATTTGGTGGAATATTAAATATCAACAATGGAAAAGAAAAAGTCAACGTGATGTGGTAATAAAAAGGTTGATATTTTGAAAAGGTTGATATTTTGGTAAGAATTAAAGTATTTTCTTAAATTATCATATAATTATTTAGATGAAAAATTCATTTAAGATCAATGGATAAAGATTAATATCATTCAATCAAATTTTAAAGATTCAGAAACTAACAAATATATAATGGTTTATATTTTATGCCTGGTGGAAATCTTAAAGATAATATTAATTGGAAAATGAAATTAAATAATTTAAACTTAATGGCATATGCATCAAGGATTAACAGATACATGCCAACTAATATAAAAATATTTTAATTATAAAAAATAAAAATATAGTATATTAGAATAAAATCCGTACTTAAAACAGACATTCTTAGGATTTGGAAGACTAGAATAATTGATAGGTGTCTTGAAAATTTTACAGTATTTTCAATTTAATTGTAATTTCATTATAAATATTTTTATAAATATCAAATTTTTTATAAAGTAAAAAATAATTTATCACATGAAATTGAAATTAGGAAAATCATTATTATTAAATAATATTTTTTGTAGATAATCTCATCTAAATTAAAAAAAATTAAACAATTTAGTTAAAATGCTTAATTTTATTCTTGGAAACAAAAAAAAGATTAATAAATTTTCAATTCTCGAACCTAATAATTTTACCTTTATAAAAATTTTTCGCATTTTACTTCCTCCTTCTCTTCCTTTTAACAATTATTTTCCTCGTACATTTTCAAATTCAAAAGTATTATTATTATCAAAAAAACAAGTTAATTCAGATATATCCAAAACTATTAAAAATAAATTAAATGATAAAAGATATTTGGGTTTGAATAAAATAAAAATTCCTGAAGAAGTTCCTGAAATATTGGAAAAAAACAAAAAATTTTATCTTGAAAATTATAAAAACAAGATTAATTATGAATTATTAGAAGGTATAAAATGGAACTCATGATTTTATAAATAATAATGCATAATATAATAGTAATAATAATAATAATAATAATAATAATATATATTATAATATTATAATAATATTATATAACAATATATGATATTATAATATAGATTTTCCAGAGTGGCTTAAAGGATTAGGATTAAAACCATTGTTTCCATATTTTGAAGGCAAAAAATGGCAAGATATAATTGAATTAAAATGGCAAGATTTAGAAAAGATGGGAATACACAATAAATTTATTAGATTTAGACTTGTCAAGAATTTCTGGAGAGTTAAATTAGATCAGGTAAAAAAAATCATTTTTTTTTTATTTTCATTAATTCTCTAAAAAATAAAAACAATAACAATAAAAACAATTATAATGAAAGGCTAAAAAACAGGGGATTACATTACCACTTAAAGGATTAAAAAAAAATATCGATAATGAAGAAATTGAAGAAATTGAAGAAATTGAAGGAAATGTAAACATGAGAAAGATGCAAAAAGAACTCATAAAAGTAGATCTTGGTTTTTTAGAAGGTTCTATTTAATAAATACTTATTATCTAATTTCCATCAAATTAAAAATTATTAATGCCATATAAATAATTAAATAATTAAACTAATAATTAACAGACGAAGAATATTGGTTACATTCAATTGGATTAAAATATGGAATATTTTATCCATACTTTCAAAGTAAAAAATGGTATGAAATGATGGAATTATCAAGTAGTGAAATATTATCTTTAGGAATTGTGCATAATGAAATGAGAAAAAAAATGTCTAAAGCATTCAAAATTTATAAATTTGCTGTGGTAAGTGTATTCATTCATTCATAATTTATTTATCAATATTTTATTTTATTAATATTTTTTTTTATTTTACAGAAAAAAGAATTACTTAAACAACAAAATCAACAACAATATCAACAACAAAATCAATAGTTTGGATAAATGAATAAATTGATTACACTAATAGATTTTAATAAGCAATAACCTAAAAATCTCCTGATATGATAATAAATATTTAAATAAAGAAATCATGTATTATATTTAATAATTATTAAAATATAAATAAATAAATTAACGTAATAAAATATTTAAATAATAAATAAATAAATCATGCTCTTGATCAAAACATCAATATATACATATCTTAAAATATATCCCGTAAAAATATTAATATTAAATTAATATGTAAAATAAATTATTTATAGAAGTCAAAAATTAATGTACACAAAGAAACCATGAATCTTATGAAAAGCTATATAAATAACAAAAAAAATGTATATAACAAATAGGAATTGCGTGACATTATAAAAATAAATAAATCATATGATATTTTGCATATTAAATGAATATTTGGAATGAATTTTTTCTAACCAATAGATATACACATAATCAAGGTCTGTGCCGATATTTTAATTATTTTTGTTCCTTTTGAACTATCGAATTATTTGATTATATAATTTATATAATTTATATTATGACGTTATTATGACGGAAAATATTTTAAAAATATTTCCTTAATCTAACTGTACGTACAGTATGTATGCGCATATTATTGTGATTGATTAATTATTTTGGTTTCAGATGGTTACAACGAATTTAATCTTTAAAATATATAGACAATAAGTGAATGTTATATATTTATATAAATAATATCAAATTGTATATATATATATAGATAAAGAGTTATGCAGAAAATCTATGGTAAATATAGTATGCTATAATATGCATAAGATATGCATATGATATACATAATTTTGTATATATATATAAATAATATGTAAATATTATGCATAATGGTAAAATGTAAACAGCATGTAAAATGGTAGTATCAATAAATAGAAATAAAAGATACTTGAAATTGTACAAGTGTAAAAACTAAAATATATAATGAACCCCTCTCAAAACGAATTTATTTTTTGCACAACTAAACTTTTTATTTTTTTTTTACAGTTTTTTTTTTTCATCTGAAACTATTTTAATATTTCGTTTATTATTATTATCGCTCTGTGAACTGTTACTATAACTACAAACAAATCATCGATAATACGGACGATATTAATATTGAGAATTTTATTGATAATATTGATAATATTATTGATAACATTGAACATACTTATGCAAAACTGCATACAACAATTCAAACATGCAACAACAACAAATTCATTCTCAATCCCTCATGAATATTAATAATAATCAATCAATTCTTCCAATTGATACATTAGCAATTATTCTTGACTTTCTTTCTACATCAAAAACAACATTATATTCATGTTTATTAGTGAATAGGTTATGGTGTAGATTAGTTATCCCACATCTTTGGTCAGATCCATTTTCGTTATCAATATGTGATTATGCATCATCTTCCATAGAAAAGAATTCAATGTTGATCATTGAAACTTATATTAATTGTTTGAACAAAGATGAAAAGCAACGATTTGTGGAAGAAGGAATTATTATTAATTATAATAATAATGAGAAGAAACCATTATTCGATTACCCAAGATATTTGAAATATTTTGACTGTGAACGATTTAATAATTCCGTAAAACTTTGGATAAATTATAAACTTCATAATAATAATAATAACATTAATAATAATTTTAATATTAGCAATATTTTCAATCCCACAACATATTTAGCAAATTTAATATTCAAACAAACAATTGGAATTAAAACTTTATGTTATAGAAATATTAATGAAATAAATCTTAAATCAATGGATATTTCTAATTTCACTAATACATCCAAAGCATTATTTAAATTAGAGAATTTAGATATAGTTTATTATCCAAGCAATAAATATATTACTTATAATCATAATAGTAATCTCATTAATAATAATAATAATAATAATAATAATAATAATAATAATAATAATAATAATAATTATAATAATAATCTCATTAATAATCTCATTAATAATAATGAACCACTTTCATCAATTTTTTATACATTAGAAAAATCATCACAATTTCTGTACACAATTTCACTTTCACTCTCACCTTCATCGTCATCTCCTATAGTTGTTGAAAGAATATTTTCATTTATAAAATCACAACGACATCTTCAATATTTAAGTATCAATGAATTCTTTCCTATTAATTATTATAAAGAATTCTGTGATGTATTAAATTCTCAAGCAAATTCATTAAAATATGTTAAATTATCTGAATTCAATTTTTTTCCTTATGAATTAGAAAGCATATTAATTAATAGTTGTAATTTAATTGGATTAGAAATTTGTGGTGGGGAGCTAGAAATATCAAGAGACAAATTAACGAATGACGAGAGAAATGAGGGAAACGAGAATGATGAACGAGAGCTAGACGAGGATTATGAATTTATTTCAACAACAACAACTAATAATAATAACAATGATAATAATTACAATGATAATAATTATTATGATTATAATAATCGTTCAACAATTCAAGAACTTTATATTAATCGTTGTAATTCACAAAATTCAATTCTTTATATTCTTAATAATTTAACAAATCCATTTTATTTACAAAAACTTACAATTGATAATTGTAATATAGAAATTATTCATTCAATAAATGAATGTGCTCCTAATCTCACTCATTTGGATATTAGAATTTCATCTTACATAGACTTTAATTATATCAGTAACAATAGAGACAATAATAATAATAATATTAATAATAATAATAATAATATCAATATCAATAATGGTAATAATTTTATCAACAACAATAATATCATCAATAATAATTATATCGACGATATAAATATAAATAATAACGAATTAGATTCATTTGAACAATTTATTCAAACAACTAAAAATTGTTTATATAATTTGCGTTGTTTAGAACATTTAGTTCTAAGGTTAAATACCAATAATATTGATTCAAATATTGAAATAATAGATAATATTAGAGATATATTGGATTCATTACCATCAAGTGTAAATCATATTGGATTAGAAATGAATTTTGGATCAATAAGAGATTTATGTGTTATATTAAATGGTTGTAGGAGTGAAGTATTAAATAAATTAGATTTATGTTGGCAAGGAAAGGGTGAAAATATTTTAGATGTAGTTGAAATATTAAATGATTTCTGGAATTATTCTTATTATTATGAAAATGATGATGATATTAAATTTATTAAATTATTTTGCGGAAATATTTTTAATAATACAATTAATATAAATATAAGAGAATTAGAACTACTATTGAATGAGAATATTGTGTTAGATATTATTGATAGTCCTTTCATTCCTTATAATTTCAATTAATTAATTTATTATTATTATTTTTTTATTATTATTATTATCACATTTTTATTATTATTATTATTATTTTTATTAAATTAATTGTATATTCATTTATTATTATATATTCATTCAATTATAAATTCATTCAAATTCATCCAATTATATATTCATTAAATTCATTTTATTATTCAATTTCTTCACGTGTATATATCTTATGCATAACAAACAAACAACAAAACTTTTTAAATTATATTTATCCTTATTTGTAATAGTTATATTCTTACTACATACTTGTATTTTTATTTGTTGTTAGTCATTTGAATATCCTTATTCGTATTGTAGCAGTGTTTCCTGTATCTTTATTTGTAATAGTGGCTTTGGGTACGTAACCCCACAAAATATATAATTTATTTATGTGGAAATTGGTTTCTAAATGATTTTTTACTAAATGAAGAAATGATTTCGTGATAGTATGTAATAAAACTTTTTATAGATGTAAAAATCATTTTAAAAAACATTAGTCATTTATTTTTTATCATACTGTCATACAGATCATCTTTCTTTTTGTCTTAGAAATTTACTTGTTTCAAAGAAATTATTTTAGAAATTATAACGAACTAACTATAAATGTTAATATTTATACGTAATACACGATAAGAAATAATAATAAACTGGGGGAATAAAAAAAAAATTAAAACTAAATTAATCTCGGATTATAGTAAATGAAATAAATCTTGGAGAACAGAAATAAATTTTCATCTCAGGAGAAATAAAACTTGGATTCATTCATCTCTACATTTGGGAGTTGACATAATTCTAGTTGTGATTAAAACTTGAAAAATAATTAATTTTAAACACGAGGGTATTACAAGTTTTACTAATGACATTTGTTGTGTTCAACTTAGTTTTTACAGAGAATGTATTCGATCTTGCATAAATAACTTGTTACTTTTACATGCTACATAACACATTCCACAACAACAACACGTTTCACACGTTACACGTTCAACATTAAACGTATCATATTCTTTTCTCCCACGAATATTTATATCTCTATTTGGTACTTTATTAACAGATTACTATATTTTCATATTTATTATTATTCGTTATATTTATTCTGTTATCACTTATTTCTACAATAAATCATTTATTCCTATTTTAGAAATTTATTTTAAAATAATTTTTACTTTATTCGAATTTTTTTATTATTTCTATAAACTGTAAAATGTTACGTGTCAGAATATAATTATGACCACAAAGTTCACTAATAACTATTGTAATAGACGCAATAATTAATATCACGTGACTAATTAAAAAAACGAAACAATTTATCTCGTATAGGTCCAACATCTAATCTAATATTTCCTCAAAATGCAATCAAAAGATATACCGAAATTATGTAAGTGAAAACAAAACTTGATGTAAAAAGTTTGATATTTATATGAAGTAAAATATTTATTAAAGATATGTAATAAATTACTTAAATATCATTGCGAAGTAATTCAGAGTAATATTTAATTGAATTTTATAGATTTTCATCTCTGGAAATATTTTATCATAATTTTTTCTGATTTGATAAAAGTAAATTAATAGTTTAATAAGGGTCATATCCAATTAATCATGAAAAGAAAAATAATTTTGATTTATTGCTTTATAAAACTTCCGAAGTATTATGAAGAAAAGAGAAGGTGTTGAATTATAGTTTATGAAAGTAACTTCCCAATTTTACAAGTGCTTCCAAAATCTAGAAATGATAAAAAAACTTATATTTTGATTTTTATAATTTTCATAAATTCAGTACAAATAATATAAATATTAATTCTTTTGCATGAAATCAGTTATTTTTACAATTAATAAAGAATATATTTCAATATAAACAAATCTTTTTTTTTTTCCAAAAATTTTATAATTTACATTGTGTTAACTTATATCAACATAAATGAAAAATGAAAAATCAACTTTCGTCATGAGCTACAGCGAGCAATGACCAACCAACCAAATCCCAAGGTGCAATTTTGACAGCTCTTTGGGCAGCTTCGAGCATTTCCACTCCGAGTTTCTCAAATTCCATGATTTTATCATTCTTTTTATTACTATCTACTTCATCTTCTTTTGCCACACCATCATCATCACCTTTTTCTTTTTCAGTTATATCAATATCTTTACTAATATCTTTATTATCTTTTATTATTAATGATAAACTCGGTTTTAATTCTCTTCTGGCAATTATTAAAGCCGAAGTATAATTTTGATATACTTTTGATTTTTCATTAGTTGGAAGATTTTTAGATGCAAATGATAATGGATTAGAAATTAATTTCAAAGCGGTACCAGATATAGAAACTGCAGAAAATGGATCAACGATGGAAATAAGATGTTCGGATAATCGAGTCCAACCCACAAGTTCGGGAGGACGAATTCGAACTGATTTAGATAATGTATTTGTTGTTTCATCTAGAGAATTCTGATTTAATAAAGAATAAAGGAGTAAAAAATGAGTAATGGAAAGAATAAAACACAAAATGTTAGTAAAACTATATATGTACCTGCAACAAGAAATATCTACTAAATAAGAAATCTATATCACGGTCTTTATCTAACTTATCTATAAATAAATAAATTTCAATAAATATTAATAATAAAAAAATAATAATAATAAATGAATTACAATAAATTATAATAAATAATAATCGATTTACCTGCAACTTTTATAGGAATATTTTTCATTTCTCTTAAAGCAGCAGTAGTCAAAGTGTCATCATTTTGTAATAACCCCATTGCGCATAAACCAAAAATTGCGGGAAGATGATTTGGATTTTGTGAAATACTACAATAATTAAATGTATTATAAATATATTATATATTACATGTGTTAATAAAATTAATAATTAATAATGATCATACAAGATGATTACCATCCAAATAATTGTTCTTTCGCTAAATTTCTCTGTTCTTCACCACCTAAAGCCCATAAAACTTGTGATAATAAAACTATCACATCTTTTCTAACTTCTTCAATTTCAATACTATTATCGTCATTTCTATAAGAAGCAAAAGTGTCGTTTTGCATTTGCTCAGAAATAAAAAGTGCATCTTCAAACATTTTTAATGAATCATCTAATTCATTATTATAATAATACGCTAATCCAGCCCCTAATATAGTGTAAATTTTAAATGATCTTATCGTTGTTAAAGAAGAATCACTTTGATCACCTTCTAGTTGCTCGATTAGATTCAATGTTGTATTATATGCATTAATTGATTTTTCAAATTCTTTATTACTACAAAGAACTCTACCGAAATTTCCATATACATAAGCAAGCTTTTTTGTAATTGAATTGGATAATTCTTTTTCTTCTGTAAATTTGTCTATTGGTTGTCTTACATTTCTATTTTTTATTTGATCAATTTTATCTTCTAAAGCAATAATTGCATCACCGAATGCCTCAACAGAATTAACAGGCTGTTCAAGCCATTCAAATAATAATCCCAATAGATTTAATGAAGCAGCGTCATCAGATCTTTGCTCAACAAGTTTTCGTAAAGCGAATGTAGGAGAAATTAATAAAGATTTGTGTAAAGTTGTTGTAATAAATGAAGATTTCTTGAATTTTAAATATATTTGATGTGCAAATCCATAATCTGCTTCGAGCTAAATAATTATAGATTAATTATAATAAATGTAATTATAAAATAATTTAATAATAATAAAATAATTAATAATAAATAATTTAATTAAATAATGATTCATATACCACATAACCACCACCACTAATATCATAAGTATGTTCAAATAATTCAGCCGCTTCATCATTGTCTCCATAAAGATATTTCACATAAGCTTGTCCAACCCAAGCCAATACATAATCAGGATCCAATGATTGGGCAGTAGAAAATGCTTTACTGGAAAGTTCCAAATCTGAATTCAATAAATATAAAAATCCTAGATTTGTCCACGGGATTGGATTCTGAAACATAAATTAATGAATATAAATATTAAATAAATAAATGAATATAAATATTAAAATAAATAAATGAATATAAATATTAAAATAAATAAATGAATATAAATATTAAATAAATAAATAAAAATATAATAAAAATAAATAAAAAAATAAAATAAAATAAAAATAAATAAATAAAAAATAAAATAAAATAAATAAATAATAAATAATAAAATAATAAAATTATAAAATAATTAATATAATAAAATATCACCTTTGGAGAATAATCAATAGCTTTAATAAAAGAATGTTGACTAATTTTTACATCAGCAAAAAATGTTATAATTCCAAGAGCATTCCAAAAATTAAAATTTGTTGGTTCTAATTTCAAAGCAATTTTGATACATTTAATTCCAACATTCAATAAATTCTTCAATAAAATATCATCATTATCATTATAATAATTATTGTCATTATCATAAAAATCCAATAATTCAGTTATAATTTTAGATTGATTCTCAAAAATATAATAATAACCAACACCCAAATCATACCACAATGTAGCAATAGTTGAAGTATCAGAAGTTAAAAAAATAGCATATTTATATGCAAGACACCCACAAGTTAATAGAATTAATAATAAATCCGAATTATTTAATAAATTAATTGTTGGATCATCATTTTCTGAATTGTTTAATAAATTTAATCCTATTTTATCAATTTCTGAAGGGAGATGTAATTTAGAATTTAAATCTAAATTTAAATCTTCCACAAATTTAAATATATTCCTTATAGAAGATAAATCAATCAAATATAAATAATTTGGTAAACAATTGGCAACCATACAAAGATCACCAATTAATTTCCATAAAAATTGATAATCATTATAATTTTGAATTGCTTTTTGCATTATTAACAAACCATCATTTAAAGATTCAATAGCTCGACCATAAAATCCGGAATGAAAATATTCTTTAGATAAAGCTAAATAACAATCACCCAATCCTTTTAATGATGGTAAATGTTCACCATCTTTCATTTGAGTAACTTTCACTTGTTGAGTTTTCGCTTGTTGCTGATGAGCTATTTCAATAGCTAATTTATATTGATCGATAGCTTCATTAAATATACCCAATTTTTGTTTAACTAAACCAATTTGATAATGAACGTTAAATGAAGAAGGATTTAAATCGGTAGCACGCGTGAAAGCTTTTAATGAAGCCATGTATCGGCCTTCATGAAGGTAAGCCTCAGCAAGACCTTCCCAACAACTAATATCTTTAGAAAATGTTTTTAAGGCTGTTTGAAAATCTGTAATTGCTTCTAAATAATTCTTCCGTGCCTATAATAATTAGCATAATAATTTACTATTAATAATTTCACTATAAATTTATTATTAATAATCTTTTCACTTTCTTATTATTGATAAGAATCTCTTACCAATTCAACAAAGCCTAATCGTTTCCAGGCCCATCCGGATCTAGAATTTGCTTTAATGGCAGCTCGATATATTCCAACTGCCAAATTTTCTTCATTATTGAATTGATAATATTCACTTAATTGTATTCCAGCTTCTTCCTCATGTGGATCAATAGAAAACGCTTTTTCATAACATTTTTTTGCTCTTACATTATCATTTTCTATTAATCGATAATAATGACCAAGATATGTAAAAGAGCTGGAAAATTGGGTATCCAACCTGACGGAAGAAATGAATTGAGAGTAGGCATAACTTTTATTAATTTGATATTCACCTATAATATTATAATATTTATTATATTTATTTTAATTATTATAATTATTATAATTAGAATATTTATCACATTCGTTATTATCATAATATTTCTTATAAATAGAAAATGATAATTTACCACCAATCGCCCAATAAATTCTTCCCAAACGATAAAAATGTAATGCATTTTTATCACATATATCTATTGCTTCTTTAATAAGAGCTATGGCTTCATCATAATTTTCCATCATGAAATAAACCCAAGAAAGTTCACTTTTGGCAGGATGATTCTTGGAATCTAATTTGAATATTTTTTCAAATACTTTAATTGACTTTTCAAATTGTCTTTGTTCTGCTAATATTTTTCCTAATCCCTATTTTTGTTAATAATAATAATAATAATAATAATAATAAAAACAATAATAAATTATATAATGTAGTAAAAATAATAAAAAATTTATACAAAGTAATAACCATAGTTATTTAATACCTGAAGAGCTAAAGTATTATTTGAATCTACTTTCAGAATCTTCTGATACAATGATAAAGCCTCAGTATGGAATTTTGCATCAATATTCAGGTAACAATTTGCCATACATAATTCAAGCGATTGTAGAACCCTTTTAATAATGATAATAATAATAATAAAATGTAAAGAAATAAGGACAAATAAAGATAAATATATAAATAAAGGAGATAAATAAAAATACCTAGTAAGCATATATCCAGTTTGTTTATTATATTTCATGACCAAATCTTTACCATTTTTAGCAGATTCTAATGCCAATTCATAATCTTTACTATCATGCTTAAACCAACTAAAGACGAGATGTCCAAAAATACTATTTGATGTCAATTCAAATCCATCCTATTTGAAATAATCATATTAATTAAATTTATTAATTATTATATTTGATTATATTTATTAATTATATTTAATAATTATATCAAACATGAAAAATAAAAAACATTACATTATAAAGTTCTTGAGCTTCAGTTTTATCTCCTTGTTTAGCTATAAAATATCCTTGAATAATTTTTGATAATCCAGTATCATTAAATTTCTCTGAATATTTTTTCATCAAATTTAAATCATATTCATCTAAGAAATAAATGAATTAAAAGAATTAAAAGAATTAAAAGAATTAAAAGAAATATTAAAAAAAAAAAGTTTTAAATATGTAAAAATTATAACGTTATAAATAATTATAAATATTAATAATTTTACCTGGTGTATTTACATTAGTGCTTTCAATTAATATTTCATATGGTAAAGAAAATGTTAAATCTTTTTCCACAAGTTCATTTGCTAATTTGAAAAGCTTCTCCCTCAACTACTTGAAAATAAATTTAATTATTATATATATTATTATCTATTGTATGTTAATTAATTAATTAATTATAATATTCAAAATTCAGAAAAAAATTAACTTTAAATAATTAGATAATAACCTGTTGCTTATTATTATTAATGTTATTTTCTAAAGGAATGGCAACAAGTTTCTTTTGAAGATGTTTAAAATAATTCATCATTAATTCATTTTTTTCATTTATATCTAAATTATTCACTGAACTATCAATAATTTCAAATAATGAATCATAGAATTCTTCTAACTACAAATTAATTAAAAGAAATTTAAATTAAAAAAATAATTAAATTAAAAAGATTAAAATAATTGGAATATAATTTAATAAAATAATTCGAATATAATTTAATAAAATAAATTAGAAACCATGCCTCAGAATTACTGAAAATTTCACTTTCAACTTGAATTTTAATAGAAGAAAGAGTTCCTGAATTAAGTCTTTGCCTTCGATTATCAATTTCACGTTTAATATTTTCACATTCTTCTTTTTCTGTCAAATTTATAAGTTGTAATAATATTTGTTTAGGTGATTGAAGTCCATCCAAACCTTGAATTAATTCATAATATGGACTTTTTGTGGGTAATAAATATTTTAAGGTAATTATTAACTATGAATTTTAAAATAATCAAAATCATTTGATTTAATTAAAATAATTTAATTTAATTAAAATAATTAAACAAAATCTTTTATTTATAAATACCTTTTGTCTATCTTTTCTTTTATTAGCGTACAAGTCTAGAAGTTTATTTATAACATCTAAAACCTTCTTTCCATCATTGCTAATATTAAAATATTTATTAAAATATTTAATTATGAATAGTATTTAAATAATAAGAAATATTTGAATAATATAAATATAAACCTCTCTTTATGTTTGTTTAATAATTGGATCCAAATTTTTTCTAATTTTACCCAATTTTCTTGCTTTTCATAAAATTTCTCAAGACCCTAATTAATTAATTATAATCAATTATTCATAACAATAATAACAAGGAAGGATATATTTATAAAAAAAAAAAAAAAAGACTTTAATTAATAAATATAATATGAAAAAAAAATTATCAGAAAGAATTCTATTATTAGTAAATCAGGTGAATTAATAGTAATATTAATAATAAAAAATAAATTTTATATAATATAATTTGAATAATAATTACCTGCCAAGCAAGAGGATGAATAGGATCAATCTCAATAGCACGTAAATATGACTGTTCACTTTCATCATATCTATTTAAATTCAAGTATGCAACTCCAAGATAAACGTTTCTAAAAAAAAATATAATTAATAGAATTATTAAAATTATCAAATTATTTATTAAAATTTTCAAATATTCGAAAATATTAAAATTGTTGGAATAAATTCATTCAAATTTACGCGAAATAATTAGAATTCTCGAACTGCAAAACTTTCAAACAATGCTTAATAGCATCTTCGTATTTTTTTGTTGTGATTGCTTCCTTCGCGTTTTTTAATGAAGCCTTTACAAAAGACATATTTATAACAAGAAATTAAGAAATATTTAATGATAATCTTTTATTTAACATGTCAATAATTTTTACTAAATTTCTGCGCCAAAAATCAGGACACCATACAGATAAAATTTATAAAAATTATAATTTTTTTATTTATATTTATTAAATCGTTGATATGTCTACACCTCTAATTGTAAACAAATTAAACAATTTAAACAAAATTTATTTAATTTTAATGCAGAAAATGTAAAAAATATAACAAAAGGAAATGACGTAACGAGAATAAAAAAAATAGAATAATAAATAAATAAATAAATTTATTCCCGTTCATTTTGATCATTTCCTACTAACGCATGTTTTTCTTCTTCAGCAATAAATATTACTTGTTCAACTTGTAAATCCTCATTATCACCAAATTCTTCTTCTTGAAGAATTTTTTTGTATTCATTAAATTTAGTTGGTAATTTCAATTTGTTTATAGCTACTGGAACTAAAAGAAGGAAGAATGAACAAGATAATAAAGTGAGAGCGAATGAAATAATAAAGATTTTAGTGTATTTTGAGGAACATTTCCACCAATGAATAAATGAGTGAAGTAATGGACATGGTTTATGATGTGTTTGAATAGGCACAGTTGTTTCTTCGGATTTAACATCGATAGGAATTAATTCGATATTTTGTCCTTCTTTAACTTCAAGTAATTGGAATTCTACAACTCTCTCAACTGCATCAGTATGGACAACTTTAACACCATCGAGTTCAAGAATCTTGACAAATATGGTGAGTTTGGAAATAGTTCCATTACTTCCTTTAGAAATAGGTTCAATGAATGATCTTACTTCTACCATAATGAGACCAATGTCAAATTTATCATCATATTTTTGAATATCTTCGGGTTTGACATCACCACGAATTACTCGAGCTTCTATTACCTATATATAATATAACAAAATCAATAATTATATTATTAATTATATTATTAATTAAATATAATTTTAAATTATATTAAATTATGTTCCCCTTTTAAATAATTTACCTGGATACTACTAGCTCCTAATTCTACGGGTACAGAATTTAATGTCAATACATTATCGTCATTTAAATCAAAAGTTATTATGACAGCGGCTAACTTTTCCGCTATTATTTCTCCTTTGGTATTTACAAGATCATCAATTCGTTGAATGGAGACCACTAATTCTTGGGATTGTGAATTATTTGCTTCCGATATATCGACAGAGGTTGAAGAAATGTCAGAAACATCTTCGGTGGTGGGAACTGCGTGCGTTAGAGCTGTTGAATATGATTGGTTGTTAATAGATTAAATAGATTAATATAATAATATTAATATTATTTATTATTATTAATTAATAATGTCGTTGCTTTTATTCAATTATATTATCATTAAACTATTATTAAATTAGACTATATTCTATGTTTAAAATTCAAATTTTTTAATCAGGGTTACGGAATATTAGAATTTTATTTTATGTGCAAAGTTTTCAAATTTTATGGCAAGTGCACAACTCCGTGAATCGAATTTTAAACACTGGACTACATATTAAATTAGAACATATAATAAACTGAACTTACTAAGAAAACCAACAAGTACGAAGAACAAAAGAATAAAAGTTTTAAAATTTAAAGCCATTTTTATTTTTATTTTTTTTTTTGTGGTTAAATATTTTTTTTTAGAAGGAAATAAAGCTCCGGAAAGTTTGTTAATAAAAGAAGAAAATTTTTGAGATGAGAAATAGCGAGTTTAGTATAAAAAAAAATATTTTTTTAAAAAAAAAATGGAATTTATAAATTTTATAGTTATTTATAGAACATATAAAGAGAGAAAGAGAAAGAGAACGTATGGTTTATACAAAAACTTCTCAAACGTTTCTAAATATAAATGGGATTATAAAGAATGATCAAATATATATAACAACAGGTTATTTCTCATTATTATTATTATTATTATTATGTGATATTATTTACAATGTATTCCCATTTATTATTATATTATTGATATTATCAGTTCAGTTTTATATATTATTAATAATACGTCATGTGGCTAAACTGAAACTATGTAATTTCTAGAATTTGGGTTTCATTCCTTATCCGTATCACCACTGGATTAAAAATTACTTTATGATTATATTTGATTTTTCTTTAATAAAACAAACAAGCAGATCAATTAAATCATTTATGTCTTACTCTCGGATGATTATTTCCAACACTTAAAAGAAATTTTCAAACATTAAGATAATCATTTATTTGTTATTAATTTTTATAACTAACTAACTTTAAATATATATTATTATATTTATTAAAATTTATTATATTATATTAAATTATATTAATAATATATGTACAAATTATGTTTAACTTTAATTAAATTGGTATATATTGGATTTTATAATAATAAAAATTATAAAATAAGTTTAACCTTAAATTTTATAAAACTTACAATTCGCCAGTGTTAAGACTTTTATCTGTGATCATCTGACTATCGAGTTTCAATTTATTCTTCTTCAAATATATTCCTGTACCCACACTACTCAGTAAAGAATAATCCATAGCAGTTCGTTCCTTTTGTGATTTTATCCTTTGTCTAGCGTGATCAAGATGTTTATAAATCTCTTGTATTGCTGTACAAACTCCCTCTTCTTTACGAATATTTTCTCCAACCAACTTTGATTTCTCTATCATTTTTAGATCGGTGGTAACAAGTTTAAGACATTCAGCTAGTTTTTCCACTGTCAATTTTTTAATACAAAATCCAATTTTCATATTTTCTACTCGTTCACCCCAAAAGAATTGGTCTCCAAAGAATGGTTTTATTATTGTTGGAATACCTGCACGAAGTCCTGCGGCTGTAGTTCCCGCACCTCCATGATGTACTACTGCATCAATTCTTTGGAATAACCAATCGTGAGGTACTGAGTCCATTAAGTAAATATTAGAATATGATTCTTTAATTTCTTTAATTTCTTCTTTTTCTTCTTTTTCTTCTTTTTCTTCTTCATTTTTGCTATCTTTTGTCTTAAGTAAACGATCACTCCATCCTTTTGATAAAATGGCCACTACATTACTTTTTCCCACCGCATCAATAATAGTTTTTGTTAAAGCTTTTGGATCATCAACAACTATAGATCCGAATCCAATATATACGATTTTTTTATTTCTCGCATGATTACTTTCTATAAATTCCAAAAGATCGTTAGGTACTTTCCAACCAATATCGGGATCATCTAAAAACCAATATCCAGTTACGCTCACCCAATCAGACCAATCACTAGCTTTGGGAACAATATATTTACTAAAATTATAAAGGAATGGTACAGTAGAAGGATCCATCTTTTCTGTGTTGGTACTTTTTAAATGAAGTGTATTTTTTCGCCATCGATTAATTTGAGGCGAAATTGCTAACCAAAATGCATTCTCAATAAGAACATAAGAAGAATAATTGTAAGGAGCCTTAAGATCATGGTCGGGAACAGCAAATGCGTGAGGATAAGTTCTTGTTCTCGTCCATGGCATCGTAAATGCTCTAAAATAAGGAATATCTAATTTTTATTAACAGTTTGAATTAGTTTGGAAAAAAATTAAAATAATTTAAAAAAAATTTAAAAAATCACCTAAAGCCTCGGAAATATGAATACCGGCCATAGCACTTGGAGACTCTATTATTAAATCCGTTCCCTAATAAAATCATAAAAAAAAAAAAATAATAATAATGAAAAAAAATAATAAAATAATAATAATATAATAATCACAATAATAAAATAATAATAAATTACTAATAAAACGATAATAAAATAATAATAAAATAATAATAAAATAATAATAAAATAATAATAATAATAAAATTAGAAAAATTATAAATTAATAAATTATGTATTACCTTACACGCTTCCCAAGAAGTTTGTAATAAATCATCTAACCAATCACGGAACTATTATAAGTAATAAAGATCAGATCAAGGATAGGTGATTTATGCTTCCCATAAATATAGAATAAATAAATTATCAAAGAAATACTCACATTTGACCTTGCCTCTCTAAAGAATCCAAATGTGAACATACCATTTTCCACACATATTCTCTATACGACAAATAATATTAAATTAATATTATTAAATTAATTAAATTAATATAATTACAAGAAGAATAAGAAGAAGAATAATATTATTATCATTATTAAAAAAAAAATTAACCATTAATTCAGCGGGATTTCCTCCCACATAACCGAATTCTATACCATGACTTTTAATCCATTCTTCATATTCACCATGAGTAGCAATTTTAACTTTGTGACCTTCTTTCATTAAACCTTTAGCCAGAGCGATATATGGCTATAAATAATAGGATTTGAAAAAATTAAATAATAAATAATAGACAAGATATTATCAAAAATTATTATTAATTTACCTGAACATCACCACGCGAACCAATTGTCAAACATGTGATATGCATAGGTTTTTCTGGTTTTGAACTAATCTCACCAAAATTTGAAATTTTTGAAGTGACATTACTAGTAGATAATCTTTTTAACAATAATTGATCCTTTACGATAGCCTGTTGAATTAAACTAAACAAAGAATATGTATTATAAATCTATATCAAATATGCATCATATATGCATCATATATGCATCATATATGCATCATATATGCATAATATATGTATTATGAATGAAAAATTAAATGAAAACATACACTTGACTTTCTCCAGACAATGAAACTTTCCTATTTTTATTCATACGAAATTCAACCATTTCAACAAATTTATCACGAATGTCTTTAGAACCGAATTCAAAAAACATTTCTTGTTGAGTTTTTGTCAACACATCCAATCCATAATATCCCAACATAGTCGCTTTTTGGGTTTTTAAAAGGAAAATATCAGATATTGGTAACATTATCTAAAATATAAAATAAATTAATTAAAAAAAAAAATAAAAGAGATTAAAATATAAATATATAATATAAATATAAACTTAATCAATAAATACATTTGTCGTCATTCCGATAACTCTAGATTTGAAGCAAACGTAATTGTCAGAAATATAAAATTTTCCAAGTATTGGAATCATTCGAAGATAATATCCATGAAAAACTATACAATTTATTATAATTGAACAAAAGAGAATGATTAAAATTAAAAATTTAAAATAATAAATGGCAATAACTATCAAATGGCTTCTTACCGGCATGAAGTTGTTCATTCTTTAAGGCAAAATATTGTCTAAAACGAGTACTTGTTTCTTCAGCAGGACTCTCCTTGGTTCCACTACTGATTAATTTCGAAGGATACTTTAATAATATAGAAACACGGTGTGAAAGTTTTCTTGTCATACTAGTAGTAGCTTGTGTATCATTATCTAGATGTTCAATTGTTGAACTTATTTTCTGATTTAATTGTCGTGTTGAATCATTATAACTTTTGGATCGTTTGTGTATTGTCATTGACTTTTTCAATTCTTCTCCCGCAGATTTTATAGTTCCAATTATAGACGTTAACGGACTTGTTTCAATTTTGATATTAGTTTTGGAATTATCATCTTCCAAATTTGTTAAATCCCTCGAATGTGCTAAATCAGATTTATTTTTATTCCAAAGTTCTGTTAATTTTTTGTATAATAATTGACTATCCAAAAAGAATGCAAAGAAGTACTAAAGATAAAAAAAGTGAATAAATAAATTAAGAAATAATAAGACAATAAAGACAATAAAGACAATAAAGGCAATAAAGGCAATAAAACAATAAAGACAATAAAGACAATAAATATAGAATTTAGAATAAATATATAATTTAGAATAAATATAGAATTTAGAATAAATATAGATTTTGAAATTTACCTCTTCACAACTTGACGGATCTTCTGGATCTAATATTTTAATTTGAATAGTATTTGGAAAATTCGAAGATAAATTACTATTGATATCAGTAATGCTTTCAATTGGAATTATAATCTTAGCATTTCCGCCATCATATTTTGCCCTAACTACAGATCTTTTCAATTGGGTCACCCATTCTTCAGCTATTATATCTGAATCAGTCTGAAATTTATAAGTTTGATTTGGTGTGACAATTTCGAAACTATTCTTCTTAAGTTCCACTTTCAAAACGTATTTAAGATCAATTATTTCAAGAGGACAATACATATCCTTTAATAATAATAATATAAATTTTTATAATTAATTATTAAATATTAGAAAAAAAAAAGAAAGAAAGAAATAATTAAATGTTTATTGTTCATAAAAATTAGTCTAATTACTGTGGAATCCAGACAGTACGTTAAGATATCATTCTGAAGTGAAAAATAATATCGATCATAAACTGGTTTATAATATGATTTCTTATAAAGATATCCTTCTTTCAATATAACATCCTAGTAAAAAAAAAAAGAAATAGCGAAAGAAATTGTGAAAGAATGAAAATTCTAGAATGCATATATTTGCAATAATTGTATTAAATAAAGTTATATTAACCTGTTCTCTTGGAAAATACGCATGAAAACAAATAGAACAATCCGTTAAAAACATAATCCCCTGCAACATTATAGAATGTATTAAAGTACATCGAAATTCTAAAATGAAAAAGATAGAAAGATTAAAAGATTGAAAAAAAATTAAAATATTTGGGTATTTACTAAATCTCACCGCTGGTGATTCAAAATTACATAATTCCCTGATCAATCCCAACCCTAATTTTACCCAATTTTGCCCAGTGATGATCTTTAGCAATTTTCAAAATATTTAAAATATTTAATTTAATTACCTCCATTTAGTTGCTTTGGCGGTTTTGGTAATTTAAAAATCTCCTGTAATTTTTCATTAACACTTTTTTCTTTTATCAAATTTTCTTTGTTTCTTATCAATTCTTCATTGTAATCTTCATTTCCTTGTTCACATTCTTGAATTAAATTTGTCAAATATATGGCATCTAACGACGATTCAGCCTTCGCTATTTTTTCTGGATTTGATCCCGCGTCTGTAGAATTAGATAGGATAATTTTAATTATTTATCGTTTTAAAATGAAAAGAAAAACAAAAAAAAAAAAAAAAACCTTCTACTTGATTTTCTACTTGACTTTTTACTTGAATTTCTACTTGACTTTTTACTTGACTTTCTGTACCCTCTTGTTCGGAATCGTTATGTGTCTAAAGATTAAAAATGAGAAACTTATTACCATTAGAGCTATCTAAGTTTTCTATTATTTTTGTTACTTACAGCACCCATTTCTGTTGAATTCCAAGCATTAATAGCAGAGACTAAAATATTATTGAACATTCTATATAATTGTTGATTTGAATATAGATGATGTAGATGTTATTAATCTGGTTTCTTTATACGTCATGTGAATGTAGTGAAATAATTTACTTAAAGTACCATTTAGGAAGGAGTGATAATTTAAACTATTTGTTATCTTAATTTCGTGTTATCTGTGATACGCATTTTACATCATTAATTCGCTTTTTGATATTAATATCCAGCTAATACCTGAATAAACTAAAGGGGTTAGTAGTTCCTTTCTAAATTAACCCAACTGTGTAATCATGAATAGTCAAAGGATGATAATTTCATTTTGATTTGATTTCATTTATATTCTACAAGTAATTCTCTTTTTTTTAAAAAAAAATTTGTGGGGGAGGTCAAATCATTAAGATTAAGATTACACACTGGAGGTTAAATAATGACATCATTTTGAAAATTATGCAAGCTTGGAAGAATATTAAACTTAAAGCAAAAATTATGTCGTGCGTTGTAATTCGTAACCATTTATAAGAAAAAAAAAAACTAATTCTGGAGGGACTTCAATTTTCCGTGATATGTTGTACTACTAATTCAAAATACCAAAAAATGTTTACGTAGCACTACTCTTTATTCAAAAATAAAAGAATCAATGGCGTGACTTTAATCGTCATAGATCAACCGACATACGACTTTTTACTTTTACTAAGGAACGGATAGAACAAATGCAATCAGTGAACGCGAGGATTTCAGTAAGATTTTATTTATTTATTTTCTCAAAGTATAATAAATATTTTAGGTGAGAAAAAAAACAATGAACGAAGTACTACTAATCTAAAAGTTAATGTGTGTAAGTATTACAATATTTAATCGAAAAAATGGGGTTTGTTTTATACTCAATTTCATATCTGCATTTCGATTGATTTTAATGTTAAAATTTTTAATATATGTCTTCGAATATGTAAATTTATTTAATTTATTTATTATTAAATAAGTAAAGTTCTAATATTACTGCTTGCCTTTGATAACGGGTGATAAATGCAAAGAAGAATGTGAAAATTCATTATATTTGTCAAAAGAGTTTCAGTTGGTTCTCACGTGATATTATTCAAATTCTAATATTTATTTTTTTATTTATCCTTTTTTTATTAGACAAGCGAGATCTCATCTTTATTAATAAATAATAAAAAACAAATTTATAACGTGAGTTTATCAACGATAAATCGTTCTTAGTAGGAGGTCACAAACCGCTACTGTCTTGTCTATATCAGAGGATCCTTATCCTGTGTACCAGTTAAGCCGATTTTAAAAATATAAGCTTAGCCGAGCCGATTTTTCTAGACCGGCTTAGAATACTATGCACCGAGTAGACTCTAATTCTAGTGCGCCTTCTTCCTTCCGAATTTGGCCTTGCAGGTGATATAATGATTTCACGTGCAATTTCATGTGGTAGGTGACAAATATGGTTTAAGAATATTCGCAGGTTAAGATTTTCCTTTTTTTTGATCAACCGTTTCTAAGAAATAATTACTTTAAAAAAAAAATGCCACCCGTATTAAGACCCAGAAAAAAATTCTCTTATTTCCCAAATTCCCGAGAAAATAAAAATGATAATACGGATAACGAGGATAATAGGGATAATATTATGATAAATGAAGAGATATCACTTGATGAACAAAGTGAATCAAATATAGGAGATATTATTGATTATAATTTAAATGGTGAGTACATTTCCATTAAGAGATAGAACTAAGGATTTATTGAATAATCATGATAATCTTTACATCTTTATAGTTCTTTTCATTGGATCATTTCCTGGACAAATCGCTACAGAAAAACAACATCAATATTCCTCTCCAAATAATCACTTTTATTACTGTTTGAAGGAAAGTAGTGAGTAAAATCCTATTAATTTTATCAATTATTTAATAATTTTGATGATTTTTATCATTTAATTTTAATTTTTAATTTAATAAATAATTAGATATGATTGATAGAGATCTTACATATAATGAAGACTATAGACTCGCTCGTGAGTTCAAGATCGGAATGATCACACTGTTTAAAGATAAACCGGTAAATATTTAATATAATTTTATAAAATAGTTAATAATAATAACACACTGAATTAATTGTATTTATAGAAAGGGATGTCAAGAGACCAATTGCAAAAATCAATCCAAAATTTATTAAACAAAGTAGAAAAATATCGACCCAAGATTATATGTTTTAATGGAAAAGATCCTTATGAGCCTTATTTATCTTATATGACTTCTTCTGTTGAATCAAGAAATGTTTTGTCAAGAAATAAGTCTTGGAAATGGGGTTTACAAAAATCAAAAAATATAGATTGGAGCGATAAATCAGGACACACGAAAATATTTGTAATGATTTCAACAAGTGGAAGAGTTGCGCAATATCAAAAGGAAGAGAAGACCAAATTTTTTATTGAATTAAAGGAGCTAGCAAAAAATATAGAAAACATTAATGGAATTATGGAAAACAATAATGAGAATAATGAGAATAATGAAAATAATGAAAATAATGAAAATAAAAATGAAAATAATGAAAATAAAAATGAAAATAATGAAAATAAAAATGAAAATAATGAAAATAATAATGAGAATAATGAAATTGAAAATATTAATCGTTCAGAAATTGTTCCAGAAATGATTATTAAGCAAGAAAATCAAGGGAATTGTGAATCTATTATTAAGATTGAGAATATTGAGCATCAGTATATCAAAAGGGAAGGAAAATAACAACTTATTCAAATCAAACTTGGAAAGGAATATTTCATTCTTTCTCTCAATTCTCAATCCTCAATTCTCGTCATTCTCCATCAGGTCATAATACAGATTATGGACCAGATAATAAATAAAATTATGAATTAGATTATGAATCAGATTACTGAAATAACGTAAATTAGTTACATCTTTGGATGTGACAAAATTGTTGAATAATCTACTTTCTTTTTCATTAATAAAAAGGATAAATAAATAATGGTAAACTGAATAAATTTCTGTAACCAATTTTTTTGATCCAAATTTATTAAAATAATTCATCAATAAAAAGTAAATAATAAAATGTATATTAAATATGTCTATTCAATAAGCCATTACTTTTTATATTTTTCATATGAATCGAATGAATAGGTTTATCGGGATAACTAATATCCAAAGCAGATTTCATAACATATTGAAATTCAAATAAATTAATTTGTTCATCGTAAAATTGATAAACATCTGTAATGCGTTGAAATAAATGATTAAGATAAGGTTTTCTACATAATTTTCCATCTCCTTGCTTTAATAATGAGAAAGATCCACATCGAATACATATAAATATTTCACAATGTTTGACAAAATAAGAAAAGCCTAAGACATCGTGAAGGAATTTGTTTAAAGAATAAGATTTTCTGATAAAACGTATTCATGATAAATGTGAGATAAACATGAGATGATATTAAGATAATAAATTAGAAAATATAGAAGAATTCTTACACATCATTCCTTCTAGCAAAAATTTCACCTAAGCAATTCAAACTAACTTTTGAATTTATAAATATATCAGCTTTATCAATTCGGTTTGGTTGATGAGGCATTATTGGTAAATAATTAAATTCATCTATCCACAAATTTGTTTGATTACATTTACCAATTAATAGTTTCTTTTCAATGGTAGAAATGTTATTACAATTAATACATTTATATAATGATAAATTGTAAAGTTTTTGTGGAAGTTTATAGAGAAATTGTGAATATATATTGAGCGTTTCATAATTTCTTTGAAATTCTAATAATAAAATAATAATAAATATGTTAGATGTTATAAATTGTTAATAATTTATCATATTTACAAATTGTTATTACCATCAATCTTTATATATCGTTTCCATTCATTATTCTCAAAAATTCCATTATATAAATTTCTTTTTCCCAAATGAATTTCTTCTATATAAATATCCCATTTGACAGGAATCGTAATTGGTCGAATGAAATTAACACATTCTTTAAGAATATCCATAAAATCTAATAAATCAATTTCAATTCCTTTTAATTGATTTAGATTGGTGAGAACGTATGAATTAGGATGTCTTAATGAATTTTTTTGGGTAGGAAAAAATGGATGAACGAACGAATTAAGATATGAATGATTATGATATCCAGAATGTTCCGGTACGGTTGACATTTTATCACAATTTTGACAAATATAAATCTTAAAGTGTTCGAAAAATTTGTTGATAGATTCTTGGAATAATTTAAAGTCCATATCAACTCTATATATAATATATATACATATATATATATATATATGTATATAAATAATAATGTCAATATCCAGCAAAGATAATTCAGCAAAGCGTAATGAGAGTATAATGTATATACATACATCTTAAACAATCTTTCTAACATTTCAATGTCCACTTTTGCATCACGTAAATCAGCTACCGAAGTAATTCTTTTCATTTCATGAAAATATTTGAATATCTGACAACTCATATCATCATCATTATGTAAAAGTTGAGAAATTTTCTGACATCTTGAACATTGTGAAAGTTCATTCGATATTTCTAATTTTAACAGGGAAGGAATTTCCTCGAGAAATTGATTATATCCGTTTAGAGTTTGGAGATTTCGTTTGTAATCTTCTGCTCGAATATCTTATCACATATATCAAAGTTTATTACAAATATAAATATTCAAGTTTATGTTATTAAGTTATCTTTATTGGTTTTTTTCTTACTTTTCAAACTTACAATCTTTATCAAATAAAATTGCCCATTGTTCTTCGTCCATATTTTCATTAACCATTATATCAAGAATTTAAATTGTCAATCTAGTATTCATAAAAGATAACATGAAAGAAGAACGAAATTACATGTTGGGTAGTAATTGACTTTAATATATTCAGCCACGGAACTTGTTACAGCCACAAATCACATAATAAAATTTTTAGAAGAATCGTGTAAATTTTTGATGCGTTTACTTAATATTATAGAAATTCTAAAATTCTTAAAAATTCTTTTAGATGTTAATTTTGTTTCACGTTCAAATAATGTATAAAATTCTTTGAAGTCTCGCTTTAGTTCGTACAAAGATATTTTTTTCTTATCTCCTGTAAGCAACTAATTTTTATTCTTAATTTATCCAAGTTTTATTTTTTTAGACTTACCAAATTAGTATCATTACGATTACTAAATCTAGATTGAAAGATTTAAGATGTCCGAACCAAATTTAGTCAAATGATCTAGGCACTCAAAAATTCTACAGGATGTCCGTAATGAATCTTACCTAGAATGTTATTCTATTCCGTAATAAAAATGCATCAAATTTTTAATTTTAATTTACTTTTTCCTTTTCTTTCTTCTCTCTTGAAATTCCAAGAAAATTTTGTTCCACATAATTCTAACTATAGTTTCTACTGAGGACCAATGCACGTGCAAACAAAAACTGAACTGATTGAAACATTTATTCTCAGATTATCTTGATTTATTTATCAAGATTACTAAAAAAACTATTCGAAAAAAAATAAATAAACATATTTGTCACTTTCCTTTCTTCGATAAAATGCGTCATCCAAATTTATTATTTCTTTTGGCTACATCAACCACATTAGTAAATACAAAAAATGTATTGAGACGTTTTTATACTCAATCTACATTTCATTCAACGAAAAGGTTTCGTAAAAAATTCAATAATTCATTCAATAATTATTATTTTAAACGAACATTTGCCACAAATTATAATTTTCAAAATGTGTCATCTAGTTTTGTTTTTCAACCTTCACAAAAAAAATACAATCAAACATCCGAAGTATTTCAAGCTATTCCTATTCTTGACGAAAATAACAAAAATAATATAAATGATAATAAACCATCTTTAATGATATTAATTGGTTGGTGGAATTGTAAACCAAAAAATTTACGTAAATATATTTCTCTTTATACCGATAAATTTCATATAGATACATTATCTCATATACCTCCTTTTTATCATGTATTCTTTCCTTGGAAAATTTTAAATAATATTAACCGTTTAGCTAAAGAATTGATTCAAATTTGGATTGAACGTGGTAAACCTAATAATATTGGGTTTCATGTATTCAGTGATAATGGAATTTATCATTATGCTTTATTATGTGAAGCTATTAGACAACTTTCTAGAGGTTCACATTTCATGTCTCCTAATCCTTCTACTATTTCCAATTCTTCCTCCATCTCGGATAACATTAGTGAAGAAGCAGAATCATTTCTAAATTCTATAAAATCATGTGTAATAGATTCAGCTCCATCCCCTATTTCAGAAAAATATGTTGCGTTAGGTATTGTAGGTGGATTTATGCATAAATTAGATTTATTAAATCCCAAAATCACTTCAAACGATCCTTCATCATCTCCTCCTTCATCATCATCTCCTTCATTACCTTTATCATTTTTAATTCACTTTTTATCATTATTTTTTAGTTTATCTATAGTGAAAAAACATCAAAATTTAGTTCATAATGCTTTAGATAATATTCCTGGTGGAACGTTTGATGGTAGAAATTTTAAATTTTTATTTTTATATGGACCTGGTGATGAGATTATTCCTGAAGATGAAGTCATAAAGTTTATGAAGAAATTAAAGAATAGAGATAAAATTTATTCCAATAATAATAATAAACAATTTTCTAATAGTGGTGAATATTCAAATAATGGATTTTTTAATAATAAAAAAAATTATATTCATAAGAATGGTAAGAGTGAAATGAATGAGAAGAATGGAGAAAAAAATAAAGGAATTTTGAAAATTATGGAAAAAAGATTTAAAGTTGATAGTGGGCATGTTCAACATTTCATGAAATACCCTGAAGAATATATTAATGCTTTGAAATTATTTTATGAATTAAAATAATTATTTAATAATATTATTATTATGATCTTATTTTATTTTTAATTTATTTGATTTTATAAATAATAATATAATATCATAATATAATTGATTTAATATTTTAAAAAATCACATTACTAAATTAATAAAATTTATATGCATGGCTATGTCATCACAAATTTATATTGATTGAAAAGCTATATCAAATTCATATTTTTACTGTTTCTTCAGATGTAGAAAAAAATTTCTCAAAATCAGTAGAATCTTATTCATGTTGTCAAATTATTTTTGGCATTTGAATTTGGATAACATGTATAGACCTATGAGTACTGTTATGGAAGGTGCAATAAACCAACCTAAAATGTGCATGGACATGGCAGGCTGGAAGCATACCATTACTTCAGAATTTACATATAATCAATCAAAGTAAAAGAAAAGGAGAATAATAAGTTACTAACTTATATTGTAGTTTTTCTTTAACATATGTAAAGTTTGCAATTAAAATAAAACTTATTTTCTTCTTTTTTTAATCTTTTTTATTACTTTACTATGTAATAATGGAAAGTTCTCAAAATAAGTTAAGTCCATGTTTTGGATATAGTGAAAAATTTTAATTAGAAAATTTTTTCTGTATATTTATATTTTTATTACAATACACAGGTCAAATACAAAAGATATGCCATACCAAAAAAGGAATTCTGATTTTAGCTGATTATAATATAGAATACAATAGGACAGTTGATTGTTATTGATTTTTAGCTAATCTATAATATAGGAATTACCATTTGGTAGGGATAGTTGGCTCAATTAATATTAGGTCTAGCTCAATTATTGCACCTCTGGCTAATTGATTTTCTCCTGGCTAAATTCTGGTTCAATGGCTAATTTTTTTTTTTAAGAAACTAATGTGATCTTTTCTTTATTAACATCTTGTTTGAATATCTTTGGCATATAAAATATGACAATTACAACAGAAGAGATAAAAATAAAAACTGACTAGACTAAATGTATTAATATAGTTAATCACTGCCACAGCTTGACCATCTGTTAAAAGATATCAAAATACCTTACCAAAACTAAATTTAAGTTTAAAAATCAAAAAAACTTTGTTTTTCATTATTTCACTTTTTCTACCTTTACAGAACAACATCTGTCCCCTCTAGATTACAACTATATAATAACTACAACACAATAACTATACAACAAATACAAAAACAACTAACTTACAACTCATTCCTTTTCAACATCACATACCTCATCATATCACTTACTATACTACTTATCACCTTCTGCATCACACCTTAGGTATCACCATACCTCCATAAATTAAATTAGTTGTCAATGCATCAACTAACTAACATAATCATCAATTCAAGGTCAAACCAAAATTTAACCTTTCCTTCCAAAAAATTATTGTTATGAAAAATAAGAGAAATTTTGACATAGATGCTTCTCCTTTCCAAAGTATATTTTGATAGTTCCAAGGAATCTTTTTAATTTCTGCCTGTTCATTCAGACAAAGTCTTCAACCCTTGGTAAGCAGACAGGTTTCAACTGAATTCATTTTGAAAACAATCATACAGGTGTAAAAACAAAAGAAAAACTTTTACAATTATTAAATGAAATGAATCTTAATGGAAAAATTCTTGGATTAGCTACAGATAATGATTCTAAAATGATATTATATGGCAATCTTTTAACAAATAAATTTGCTGATTAGGAATTCAAACATTATAGATGTGCTACACATGTCTTGAATATTGTAATTAATCATGGAATGGAATTAAAAACAGTAATTATTGACAAAGTTAGAGTATTTGTTAACAAAATATGTCATTCAACAAATCTTTGTAATTCACTTTGTAATTATTGTAAATTAATTAAAAAGAATTATCTCAAAACTGAAATAGATGTTTGTACTCATTGAAATTCTCCATTTTTAATGTTAGAAAAATTTAATAGAATGCATGAAGAATTAGATTTTTTGATATACATGATTTTGCCTCACATACAACTCTCGAGAGCCTATAATATTTACTATAGGTGCCCCTTAACATAAGTAAGTAGTCTATTAATTCTGAACCACAGTTATTTTTCCCAATTGTTAGAAATTTCAATTATTTCCTGTCATAATTTAAGAACAATGTACTTAATTTAAGACATGTAAATCCAATCCATTAATAAAAAATTGTTATTTAAGCTTTCAAATGATATATTAAACTAGTGATTTCGTTCAATTGTTGTAAATCAATGAGCAGTTAAATTAGTGCAAAGACTTTTGTTACACACTGTATATGGGAAAAAGTAATGATAGAAAATGGCCATATTATTTTATAACTGGTTCAGCAGGAACTGGTAAATCATATATTATAAATATGATAAAAAAT